ATTCTAGGCCCTAAAACTGCAGCACAATAAGTGGGGCACATTTTATATACATATTTTCCCTAGAAAACAAATAACTCAAAAAATTTATTTTATTTTATTTATTTATTTTTTACCTAGGCTGAGGGAAAAGTCTTGTATAAGGTAATGCCATTTGTGAATGTGTAAGGGTCTTAGGAAAAAAGAAGTAAATTACTATAAAAGAAATGTTTGCTTCAAACCTGGTCTGGGACAAATATTATTGCTGGATATAACTAGCAATCTTCTATTTTTGAATAAATTAAAACTCTGAAAAAATGTTTATCAATTTTCAATAACTGGTTAATTATTTATGGGATTACTCTTTGTCTTGGGAAACCAATCACTTACCCAAGAGGTTGGGGATCTTTAAACACACACACACACACACACACACACACACACACACACACACATTTTTTTTTGTGTGTAATCTAAATTTTCCATAAATGTGTTTAATAGAAAAGAAATCTTTATATTGATCTACATAGCAAGATTATAATTACACTTGGACATATGCTCATAGCTATCTTGTCTGGAAAACTATTGTTACTGTTTCAGCAATTCCTTCAGTTAGCACAGGTCCTACAGTTAGCATCATGTCACAGAGAGAAGTAAATGGGGGCAATAGACATGGAAACAAGGATGCCAAGGAATATAAGCAAGGTTCATATTGAGCTAGGAATTTTTGTCCTTCAATATTTGAAACTTATACATAAAAAAAATAGAAAAAAAATGAGGGAGGTGATCACATTTACACTTTATAAAAATCAATCTTTCCATAGCAGTGCTATCAATATGAAGAGAAATAACGAGTCACAAATATGAGCAACATATTTAGTTGTAAATATTCTAGTAGCCACATTATAAAGTGAAAAAAAACCAGGTCATTTAATTTTAATACTATAGTTAATATACCCACTATACTGAAAATATTTTCATTTTAATATGTAATCAATATAAAATTATTTATTCTGTTGTTCATCAACTTCAACTATACCATGTGAATCCAGAAATTAAGGTGATTAAAGAAAGTTTATTTATATATTTCTTGCAATTTTATGTAAAACAACTTCAGAATTTTTATTTTCTCTAATAAGATTCTGATTCAGAATGTGCTATACTTAATTTCTATAAATACACTTTCTTACCTAGGAACTCCTGGGTCTAAGAGATAATGTATACTTCCCATGGAGAAGAGATTTCCTAATGATTACTTATCCAAATCATTTTCACTGAATAAAAAGTACTTAATTCAATAACACAATATTTTACCTATTAGTTGATAATTCCCCAAAAAAGCAAAACACAATTGAAATTTCTTTTTAAATGTCCTACCTGAGCAAAACATAGAATTAGACTTTATTTAAGGTTGATTATTTCTTATAAAATTTCTTTATGCATAAGTCCAAAAGAATGAAATAAAAGTATTTAAATTTCTCCAAATTCCAACATAATTCCCTGTGATTGTAGATTCAACCAATATCTGAAAATACATCCTGTAGCTACTCTTCAGTGGACTTCTCACTGGTCATCCTTATAATAGACACTTAGATACACAAGAAGAAGTGATAGATGGAGATACAAGAGCACTAACTATAAGTTTCCTGTGTCTCAATGCTTCTGATGTCTAAGAAAGCTGCCTGACACCTATTAGGTATATAATAATTTTTTGTTGAAAATAAAATACTTATAGAGCACTTAAGATGTAACATGTGTCCGAGTGATTTATATATTTTAAAACATTCCATTGTATATTCAATCTTATGAGTAGATACTATAAATATCCCATTTCACAGATGAGAACATTGGATGAAAGATTCTAATATTATCTTGAATATGCAGTTAATCCTTGAACAGCATGGGTCTGCTCAGTGCAGGCCCACTTATGTGTAGATTTTTTAAAATAAAAATACAGTCCACTCTACATATCCCCAGGTTTTCCATGAACAGACTTAACAAACAGTATTTTGGGTGAGCATCTGAGGATGTGGAGGGCCGACTGTATGCACTGTTCTATGCCATTTTATATAAGGGACTTGGGCAACAGCAGATTTCAGTTCGGGAGTCTTGGAACCAATCCCCCTCAGACACAAAGGAAGACTTAAGAACTTATATGCATAGCCCATGAACACAAACAATAGTGACAATAGTGTGGTGATCAGCTAAGGTGGAGCAGGAGCCAGGTGAAGGGGGGAAAAGGGGAATAATTGGGAACATCTGTAATTCTCTCAACAATAAAAATACATTTTAAAAAAGTATATGAAAAATTACCACTGTGTAGGGTCAGTACCCATAACCTCCTAGATGTTTAAAGTCAACTGTATTTACAAATTGGATCCTGATAAAGGCTATGAGGTCCTTCCTATGAGGTATGCAAAATAAATTCACACACATCCCTCTTGATGGCATATTACTCATGCACATGACATTCAAAGCTTGACACTTCTTGGTGCATAATTATTCAAATTTTCTCCATACACAGACACCACACCTTGCTTTCAATAAATAATTCCACTTTAATGGTAAAGTAATAATTTAGACAGATACAGGGTGCACATTTGCAAAAAAATATATGCAAGCTGGTTTACAAGCTAAAGGAACAATAAACCAATAGAAAATACATCATCCAGTTAAGTCCATTGACACTAAGTACTTATTGTTGGGGCTTTACAAAGACTACAAAACTTTTCAGATGATTTATTTCACTGTTTCTGCCTATTTACATGATATGTTACATCAAAAATGTACAAAATATAAAATGTGTACAGACAAATGCTTCACAAACTAGTTTAAGTTGTAAACTAGGTGGACCTACTGGGATGTATTGCAGGAATTTGTTTATGATCATGTTTGGACTGTGTTTCTCAAAACGGCAGGGAAAGATTAGCAATTTTCTCAGGTCACGTATGATACGAGGATAACTAGTCACTCATCCAGCTACATATACCGATGTTTCACAATGGATTTGACCCACCTTTGGGGCTTCAACATCAGGGTGACAACTCTCTGTGCATAATGCAGCTCCGATTTCCCTTAGGGCAATAGCACCGTGTGGAATCTACAGACTCAGTGACACTCTGAAAACTGCACAGACGGCTACTGTTGTTATCATTCTAGAGCAACTGACCCACGGTGGTCGCAGAGAGTAGCACCAATTACACGTCCTGAAAGAAACACAGCTTCACACGCACAGAACAAGACTACACCATGGCCGAGCCCTTGGGCCTGATAGACCTAACACCTGTGTGCAGTGGTGACTTCTGCGATGATTCCAGTCCGCGTTCACACACTCTCTTTAAAGCCTGCCATGACAGATGCACTGTGGGGCATGTTCACTTTTCCAAAAATGCACTGGCTTCATGTACAGTTTCGAAGCATGCTCACTCTAGCACTGACAGCTCCTGCATAGTCAGAACAACTGTAAATACAGGACAAACACACCAGGTAACAACAGCGTTGAGGGTTTGCATTCTGTTATTTGTTTGCAACGTACAGGAAATCTCAGGAAGTGAAACACCTCTTAACACCAACAGGATAAAATACAATTTTGTGTGTGTTTGTTTTGACTTGTGCAAGTTTTAAAAATTATTATTTACAATACCTACCCAGTAGACTGTGCAAATCTAACCTTTTATAGTATCCACGCCACCACTTCCACAGTGGTGTCACTGCTCAGTGTTCTAGAATGCCGAATCTCTCATGGACACCAATAGCAATCGAAACAACATGCTGAGAAAACTAATCATAATAGTCATCATAATAAAAATAGAACAGGGGGGAAGCCAAACAGTTGTGCTCATGCTGTATCTAGTGCTTCCAGTTCTGCTGGGAAGGAATTCAAAATCTCCCGCCTCCAGAAACTAACTCACCTGGAACCGGATGGAATTTAGCCACATGTCTTAGCTTTGAAGTGATGGTTGGAGAGGATCTCTGGGTTACATGGATACTTGAGGATAGGCAAAGCAATCTAGTCACAAGGAAAAAAATACTGATCTTTCTCCTACCCATTTCTTAAAAAAACAAAAACAAAAAAGATCTCTAGAGATGAGGCTACTGTGTTACCTGCGGTTGCTTGGTTGCAAATGAAAGACAGTGGGAATCACCAATGGTTTAGGATTTAAACTGTTCAACTGTTGTAGAAATCTGTTTTAAGGCAGCGAGACAGCACCATAGGAAATGTTCCTTCTCTCACTGAAAAGGCTCAAACAAATAAAGCCCTAAGCAAGCCTTGTGTCAGTGTTGGCTGATAATTGGTATAAAACTCTTGTGAAGGGGGTGGGCAGGTGGCTTAAAAAGACCCCAGTGGTAAAAACCACCTTAGAAAACCTGTGACTCAGATACTGACAGTTGGCGGAGCGCGTCACGGGGACATGAGCTCAGGAATTAGTTGGCACCTCTCCAGCTTGGCCACGGTAGTGCTTCCCTGGTGGCTGCACAATTCCGTTTGTGCTTACAGAGGACTGGCCTCTCGGCCTGGTTTTGGAATGGGGCGAGCGCACAACACACACACACACACTACTGGAGCCCTGTGGCCAGCACCATGCGGCAGGAAGGAGGTCGGACGGGTCAGGAGAAGGAACCCTGCTTGGGGAGGACAGATTGCCAGAGGCAACGAAACGAAGGGACAAAACCAGATCTGTCTTGTAAACGCTTAAAGAGGAAAAACACAAAGTCCAGTTTGGCTATCCCGTGTGCAATCTATTCGGTTGCCCTATCGTTAGGGTCCCTTCCAGTTGAGTAAGGGAGTCTGACATCCCTCCGCAGATATAAAAAGGCCTAGAAACAAAAGAAGGTTAAGCTTCCCTTTCAATTTAGCTTCTTGGCGGTTCAAGACTTAGTTCTGCTGCCTCTGTGGAGAGACCACGACTCTGGGGCAGGACCCTTGGTAGGTGCTTTCATACTGGCAGTGGTTTAATGAAAATACCTTACTTTTGAAACATTTTGTAAAAAGCATAGTCTTTCCCCCCAACGTTTTCCACTCTCTAGAGGGTAGATTCAAGAGACGAATCCAAATTGTCTTCGTGGTGGCTGGTGCTGTCGCTGTCGCAGCTTTGTGTGCTGGAGTAATTGGCTGCTTCTTGGAGTTTCATTAGCATATTCATCTGAAGAAAAGAAAGAGAGACATGGGATGCAGGCAATGATGCATTGAGGAAGCCAGCCCCATAAAATAGGAGGCCCCGAGCCATACAGAGGAACCGTCTCATCCCACCCAAGTGAAACGGGAAAACGACTTTAGATTTACTCGTCGCCCCTGGCACCTACTCTGTTTCTCTGAAATATGACTACAACACCAAACCATAAGGACCAAATAAAGCCTCGAGATCCACTCTTTTATTTGGGGTTCTGAATGAATCCTGCTGCAGCAGGGAGGCTGGGAAGGAAACTGTATCACAGCTGGACATCTGGGCTCATGGCTGGAGAGTGTGCCAAGCTTCCCAGCTTTTTGGCAGGGAGAAGCAGAAAGCATTGAATGGCAACTGAAAGTCGTGAGTGCCCCTGCACACACAGACGCACCGGCAGGCAGGCTCACACACGCAGTCCCGGGAGAAGGCGGGGGTGGCGTAGAGGGGAGCCAGCTGCTGCACACAGCACACCATCTGCTGTTTAGGACTGGCCTCCCGAGGAGGTGACTGAAGGAAGCAGACCATGAGTGTTTGAAGAGGGAGAAGGAAATAATCACTGTCAAGTTTCTGTTGTTGAATTTGTGGCTAAAATGTGATTGATATATCACCGACAACAAAAACCACCTTCTGGAACAGTAGCGGCTGTCTTGAGTTTCCTGGCCCTATAGGACAATCGCAATATTTGTTCCAGTAAAAGGGACATAAGCATGAAGGCAGAAAGGGGAGAAAGTCAGGGAGCATTTTCATGCATTACAAAATGAAAGGCAGCCACCTTGCTTGGCTTTCGATGGATCTTCAAATCCTTTGTTAGAGAGGGAAGTAAGAAGAAAAATTGTTTACAAGTGAATTGTAGAGAAGCAGTTCAATAAAGCAAAGAAAAATTGGCACATGTCTTCAGGAAGTAATGGACTTGTTTTCTTTTCAAGGGTTTCTATAAATTAGAATAATCTCTAAATTATTGAATACATACTAATTTTATTAACTTATAAAATCATCAAAGTTGTTCTTTTCTTTTCTTTTTCTTTTTTAACATAGAGAAATAGGCAATCTGATCCCATAGAGAAAAGAAAGCTCAAAAGGACTTCTGTAGTCTTCTATTAGGATATGACTGCTGTGCTCCATGTAAAATGTGTGTTCAGCAACACTGCCTTTCTGACAAAGAGGCGACAGTTATAGCATATTTGGCCTTATTTTAATATTCTTCAGGAAAATAGTTTTCAATATAATTTTTGGTCTATCTCTGAATTTACAAATAAGCTACATAAAAATATGAAATCAAAGTAGTTGGTGATAACCTCTTGAACTCAGGAAGCCAAAAATCCAAAATGTCTCCATCAACAGTTTTTCTCTCTCCCCCTCTCTCCGTCTCCTTCTCTGTCTCACACTCACTCCCTGACCTTCCTGCACATCATATCCCCTCCCTCCTTTCCTTGGCCCATTCCTCCCCTGTTAGTAGATGGCTCGCTATCTGTTCAAGTACCTGGGGAAGATAATTTGTACAACAGATCTCTGTTTTGGAGCCCTACTAATTTACTAAGAATAGAAATGATTAACGAGGTCTGTTTGAAGGGTTATAATGCTATCTTAGTTACCAATGTATGAAATCACTCCAATGCTTTAATTCCTCCTGCCTCCTTTGTTCTAATATCATTGATCCTATATAATAAAAGCCTAATAAGCAAATTGACCTAGTGTTTGACCTGAGTTCAACTACTTGCTATGATATGCAATGACCACCAGGGGTGCTGCAAAACATGGCAGGCATTGGCAATGTGGGTGGCAATGTGGGAGGTGCTGCTGGCCCCGATGGGACTCGATGAGAGTGGGACCACAATGGGATGGTGGAGCAGGTGAACAGGCAGCACCAGGCCATGGTGTGGTGCCAGACGGGGATGCGGAGCTGCAAAGCTAGGTGTGCGAGCTGGGGGTGTGAACCTGGGAGTATAAGCTAGGCTCTGATCCCCAGGGCTACCCTGATGAACCCCACCCATGGATGAATTCATACACCGGGCCTCTAGTTGGAATATAGTTTCCTAAACTTATTGTTTTTATTATACCGTTCCATAATGTTTCACCTGCTATGTTCTTAATTTTGAAGGTCTTTTGTCCAACCCACATGATGAACTTCTATTCATCCCTGCAGACCTAGCTCATACATATCCTCTTTGAAGCTTTTTCCTAGTAGAAACTTCCTCAATAAACTTACAACTTTAAGTTTTATATATATGACTATTTTACTGTAATTTAGATAGATAGACAGACTTCAAGCTTCCTGAGATAAAAAATGACAGCTTATTGATCCTCTGAGCTTAGCCCTGAGTATATACTTATCACATATTAACAATTGTAAAATGAATATCTTGTTGTATTTTAAAAATACAGTGAGCTATGCAAAAAACCTACATCTTTGTTTGGATTTAAAAAAAAATACTTCTGACATTAAATGGTAGATTTTCCCCTAACAATTTGATTTAAATTGGATTGCAAATATATTTTTACCTTACTTTAGTAATTACAGACATATAGAGAAATAAAATTATTTACTTTCCTACAAGAATGTAACTGATTCAAAGAATTATTTTTAGATGTTAAGTCCTTTGTGTTTTAACATGCTATTATGGCATAAACCCTTATTTCTTCAGATATTTAGCAGATTGGGAATCAGGGTATTTTTTTACCCCAATTTTCACTCAGAATGGGAGACCCTGGATCTCTTTTCAATCTATAGAAAATCATCTAGAATAAAAAATATAGAAGACAAGTACATTGATCACAGAGCCCTGGCAAGGTAGGCAGGGCCTCTTTCTGCTCTGCCATTGATCCCAGAAGGGTGGGCAGGGCCTCCCTGTGGGTGGGGATGAATGGCAGAGCCCAGACCTGGTGAGAAGGGCCTCAATCTGCTCCCTCATTTATCTCGCCTACAGGGCGGCCCTTCCCACCTGGCCTGAGTTCCACCATTAATCCCCTACTGGGGCTCTGGGATCAATGGCAGAGCAGAGAGAGGCCTTGCCCACCTGGCCAGGGCTGTGGATGGGACCCATTACTGCCCACAGGGAGGCCCTGTCTGCCTTGCTCACCCTGCCAAGGCTCTGTGATCAATGCTGTGCAGAGGAAGGCCCTACCAACCTGGCCAGGGCTCTGCATTGGGCCCTCCAGCCATGGCAGCTTTCTTGGGCTCTCCGGGGCACAGTTTGTCCAGAAGGACATCTGGAGGGTCATCTGGAATACTTCCAGTCTAATTAACATATTACCCTTTTATAAGTATACTCTTCATTTCTCCAAGTGTACATTATATGATTTCCTTTTTGTTTCTTCATTTAAGAACAAAATTCATTTTTCTCTTAAATACCAAGTGAATTTAGTCATGCAATCTAAAAATTTAATTAACTTTTTGTAGAGTTTTACGCATAACAAGAGACAATTATGGTCATAAAGTTCATCCTGCTTTCAGTTTCTTGATCATTTTTAAACATACACATTTGGTCTTTTGTTTAAAGAAAATCAGCCAATGAAAGTGGGCCAAAGGAAAAGTAGTTAAAACTGAGTAGTATCAATTTCAGAGCAATCCCAAATATTACCCAAGATAAGTCTTATCTTTGATGTAAATGACTAATTAATAATGACCACACACTGTAATCAAGATTTTATAGAAAGAATCATACATCAGCTTCTTACCAGGGGATCCCCTTCTGTGTCAGTCTGTGGAATGTGCTTTGAGGTTGTGGCTTCCTTTGTGGAGATGCAGCCCTCATACCCAACATCTTCTGGTCGTAACTGAAGTAATGCTGGGCCCTCCTGAGGCAGAGATGCTGAGTTCCATGGATAGGTATCAAGCACCCACTTTGAGGGATCTTCCCAAGGTGCCCGTTTCCCATACATCTAAAAGGAGATCATATATTTAGCACATATGGAATGCATCTCAGAGGGAAAGTAGGGGTGGGTGGGGAGAGATTAACTAAAGAACTTTTATTCACATATGCATAACCTATGGAGTAGACAATAGTGTGGTAAAGGCCTGGTGAGAGATGGGTACAGGGTGGAGGGAGGCGATAGGGGGAAAAAGGGGACATCTGTAATACATTCAACAATAAAGATAAAATTTAAAAACAGCAATAAAAAATTAAAAATAATAAATACAATGCATTTCTACTTACATAAATGGTGACCACTAATTGAATGATTCCTTTGCACACTGAGTTTTTATGGGCCTTTCAAGGAAATTACTGTGCACATACAATTTGTCATACTTTAAACATATAGTGTCTACATAGCACACTTAAAATTTGAAGGCTAGACAAAATTAAGCTAAATATAGGGAAGCGATGATCAGCATTAGGGGAGAGGGTGAGGGAGGTTTATTTTAACATGTTGAAATGACTACCCACATTTATCTTTTTAAAAAATATGTTTTTAGCCGAAACTGGTTTGGCTCAGTGGATAGAGCATTGGCCTGTGGACTGAAGGGTCCCAGGTCTGATTCCAGTCAAGGGCATGTACCTTGGTTGTGGGCACATCCCCAGTAGGGGGTGTGCAAGAGGCAGCTGATGGATGTTTCTCTCTCATCGATGTCTCCAACTCTCTATCCCTCTCTTTTCCTCTCTGTGAAAAATCAATAAAATATATTTTAAAAAATATATGTTTTTATTTATTTCAGAGAGAGGAGGGAAAGGGAAAGAAAGTGAGAGAGAGAGAGAGAGAAAGAGAGAGAGAGAGAGAGAGAGAGAGAGAGAGAGAGGGAGAGAGAGAGAGAGAGAGAAACATTGATGAGAGAGGAACATCAAGCAGCTGCCTCCAAATGCTCCCTATTGGGGATTGAGCCTTCAACCCAGACTGGGAATGGAATTGGTGACCCCTTGGTTCATAGATCAATGCTCAACCACTGAGCCACACCAGCCAGGCATACCACATTTATCTTTATTAATAATTTTACAAACAAAAAAAATCCCTCAAAGTTGAGAAAGAAAAGTTCTGGTTATGGAGAATTGAATAAAGCTATGCTAGACACTAAGCAGAGCTCTCTACAAAAGTGTACTACTTTGGAAAAATGATTAATAAAAGAAAAGAGACTTCTTTTTTTCCACTTATCTCAAAGTTACTGAGAGAATAAGAATACTTTCTCACTGCCTTATCTGGTTTAGCTCAAGGGATAGAGCGTTGGCCTCTGGACTGAAAGGTTCCAGGTACGATTCTGAACAAGGCACATGCCTGGGATGTGGGTTTGATCCCCAAGGGGAGGTGTGCAGGAGGCAGTTGATCAATAATTCTCTCTCATCATTGATGTTTCTATCTCTCCCTCCCCCTATCTCTTCCTCTCTGAAATCAATAAAAATATTTTAAAAAGAATACTTTCTCTGATAACCATTTTCCTCAGATTGACTTCATCTAATAATCTCATTGTTTCCTGTAAAAACTCTTTTTAGATGTTTACTTATGAGGTCACTAGTAAAAAAGGAAAACAAAATGGGAAACAAAAAGCATCACCTTCGTGAGGACATATATATGGAGGGAAAAGTAACCTGGCTAAAATACTGGCAGTAGAAGAGAGATGATGAATCTGAGGTGTTAAAAACCCTACTGGGCAGGGCACACTGAAGAGACTGTATATATATATATATATGGTCACACAGGGAGAGAAAGAAAAGTTGCAATTAAGAGGGCAATAATGTGAGTATACCAGTTCTCCAATTTCCTTCCAATCCCCCCTGATGTGTTTTCTTGAGGCCAGGTGCATATTTGGTCCCACTTGGCACACTATGAGGTGTTCTTTGTGACTTGTTATAGTTCAATGAGACAAATACAATATGGTAAACAATGAAACCTTGGAATTGTCTTTTGGGTTTCTCCTGCACAAGATGTGTGCAGTGTGGCAACCTAGCAAAAAAAAAAAAAAAAAAAAAAGGAGCCAAGATTCTGGTGTCTGTATATTTCCTTAGGATGTGATGGTAGAGGTAGCAATCATTAGATTTTTAAAACACAGTTCTTCTTGTTTTAGAGTAGAAGTTCTTTTAGTTAAAAACTTACTGTATAGAGGATATAACACATAGAAGATAAATGTGTAATTCTTGAAAAGCAAATGTTATAAAAAGATTATTAAAGTCTAGAATCATTTAGGGCAGCAAAATAGATTTACCAATATAAAAGAAAACAAGTCTGATTCTATATTTTAGAGTTTAATAGGTTTAAAATAATTGAAAAAAAAGATAAATTTAAATATTAAGAATGAAAATAACTCATTGTTGACATTTTAAGAAACATGGAATCACCAGAATAAAAACTAGGATCTGCTGCATCAAAGATGTTTTTCCAACTAGAACATCTGGCAGAGAGTATTCCCCATATGGTTCTGCACCAAAGCATCAGCCTTCATTTAAAAAGATATTTTTCTATTCCTCTCAACTCAGAGTTTCATCTTTGCAATCAGGCTTAGTTTTTCCACTTCTTGCTCAAGGTTCTTTGCTGCAGTGCTGAGATCTAAGGAAAGGGTTCATGACATTCCTTTCCTTCCTGCTCCTCCAGAAGACATACATGGACCACTGAGGCATAACATCTGCCAGTGGACTCGGGCTTAGTACAGCCTTCAGCAGCAAAGAGAACTGTCTACCCACCACAGGGTTTTCCTTTTTTATCTTTCCCATGTGCTGGACTTTTCTCTCAAACTCCTTTCATCACAGAGTCAGCATTCACACTGACCTACTATTAAACATCCAGAACCACAGCAAGACACTTGAACATTTTTATCCCTTTTATAAAACTAATTTTGAAATATCTTTCAGTTTTAGTTGGGAAGCTTGTATTACTCTCCTCCAAATGGAAGTTTTATAAAATTATAATTCTCAGGATTGTGTTTTATAAATAATATTGATTTTAAATATATATATAAAATACATGCACTTTAAAGAAATGAGATCTAAGAAATCTGATTGTTTTAAGGTTTTTGAATTGTTGAAAAGCTTCTTTTTCTCTCTATGTCTTAGCAATCAGATGAAACAAGAAGCATTTGATATGTAAAAACTTGGATAATAGCTCATTAATATTCAAAGTATCTAGAAAACAAGCAATTCATTTAAATAGTAACTTTTAAAATGATTACTTCTAGAATATTATAGGTAAATTTTCATAAAAAATATTTTTGGGTATAAATGATAGAAAGTGAGAGACCCAACTTACATTTTAGGCAGCATTTTTTTAGAGGAATCCTGAGAAGTGATATTTTATATTTTATATCAGAAGAATTAAAACTTTAAGTATAGTTTTTACTTTACTTTATTAGAACCACTTTCTGGTTTATATTAGCTCATTTCCTTAAAATTATAAAATTGAGTTACTTAAATCTGGAATAGAACCAATTGACAGCATTCTCTAATATATGAAGGGTCAGAACATCCCCATAATATTTGTCATGTACATCAGAACCATCATGATAGTTCTAAATACTGCCATGCCATGCTAGTTAGGTGAGAAGGACATGAAGTTCAAAGAGAGTAAAAGGAAAGAAAACAGATAACCAATTCTTTGGATAGTAAAACAAAGACAATACAGTATTGCAGATGACAAAATATGGAAAGCTATGTCTTAATTCTAGTAACAGTTATAATAATCAAAATAATCATGCCTAAGCAAAAACTGCCTAAACCTTGGCTGAGTTATTGAAAAGAAGATTGGATTATTCTATAATGAGTTAGCCAATTATGTGACACAAAACTTAACATTTCAACCTTGAGTTTTATAATTCTACAGTTTCATGAAATTTCAACTCCAATTTAAGGAAATGGCAAGATTAATGGAAAAAGGATAATATGTTTTGTTGAAGAAAGGTTTTCTTGTTAATAATATGTTTTGACCTTTTAGTTAAGAGTAAATAGAAGGGCTGGCTGCAGGGACTTATTGGAGGAATAGCAGAAATGGTGCTAAACCAACTCATCATAGAACTGCCTTTGAATTTAGAGCACTCTCTCAAAAACAGTACAGAATCTTGCAAGTGATATTAATGGGCTTCAAACAATAAAGTATACTAAAAACAGGAGAACCTATAAACAAAGACTACTTGTTATAAACTATATGATAAGAGAATAAATGATCAAGGTTCATGTAAACATGCCTGATTTATAAGATGTAGAGCTCTGTGATTATGGGCTATTTAATAAGAATAGTCTGAAAGCAAACACCCATGGCAATAAATTTGGCTTTAAGTGTGTAGTTATTGAAATAATAGTGCTTTCACTTTCTTCTAAATATTTATTCTCAGAACAGGCAAAAGTATTACATACTAATTGCTCTTTAAAAGATTATCATTATATTTATATTGCCCATCTTTAGTTTTCTGCATCAATACCCTGAGAAAGGAATGTTTTAAATTAATATTATTTTTCCTGTAGTATTTCTTTGTATGGATATACCACAGTTTATTTAACCACTTACCCACCAAAGGACACTTCCAATAAAGGACATTTGGGTTATTGTCAGTTTTGGTGATAATGAATAATGCTGGTACAAACATGTATAGATTTTTGTGTGAACAATACATTTTCATTTACCCAGGAAAAATACCCAGAAATAAGTTGATGGGTCATATGACAAATGTATGTTTAACTTTAGAGAAAACTGTCATACTATTTCCCGGAGTGGCTGAACTATTTTGCATCCCTACCAGCCATATGAAGATTTTTCAGTTGCTCCACATTCTCCCAGCATTTAATATTGACATTAAAAAACATTTAAAGCCATTTCAATGAGTGTGTAATGGTGTCTCACTGTGTTTTATTTTATTTTGTTTTCATAATGACTACTGATGTTTAGTATCTTTTCCTGTGCTTAAATTAATGTTTTTAGAATGGTAAATAAATTTAAGTACCTGAAGACCTTCTCTTACTGCCTCCAGAATATAAGGTACCAAAGAATAGTTCCAGAGATCCATGAACCACACTCTAGAACCTTCTACATCCATGGGACAAGAAAGGAAAAGTCGGGGACCTGAAAAGAAACAAATTAACAAAATATTACTGAGAATAACTGTATTTAATAATCTAAACACATATTTAGACATGATATAGGGAGAAGTAATATATTTCTTGCAGGATTCTTAGAAAATTTTAATGTTGGCAAGCTTGATTACTATAAAGAATATTTTACTAAAAACCAAACCTCCTTTGGACTCCCTTTGGTTTTCACATTAAAATCTTAATAAAAAACATAATATATTAGAGTTAGGAGAAACCTTCAAGTTCATAATCTAGCCAACCTGCCTCATTTTACAAATAATGTAATGTGCTGAAAATGAATTTCCAGATATATAATATGTCATTCATTTTTCTAATCTACACTATCTTTACGGAGTATGTCTTTATGATCCATAACAATGGGAAGTGGACTTTTATACATGCAACTTAAGAAGAAATATATAAAAAGAACATTTATGCCAACTACAGAGAAATAATTCAAACATTTTTGTCTTCATGAAAAATATAAAATACATGAATTACCTATAAAATACCTAAATTATTTCTAAAATCTTCTCTCATAACTATATTAGATATGAGTCATTAGCTAAAATTTGTTTTCAGCATAAAAAGGTACTCTACACAGATACAATTTATTTTAGATGTTACTTGATTTTTAGAATATCTGTCTTAATTAAACTTATTTGGTCTCAGTAATATCTTAGTAATCCACAATTGTCAGACAAATTGGAGATCCAAAACTTAGAAGAAGGCAAACTTTCAGAAGGGAAAGAAGAAAAACAAATCTCTAGAAGCTTGAAACACATAAGCTTCACTTGCTATTTTCTACCAACCAATCTGGTCATTTTCACCACGTACTCTTAGTTCCTAGCAAATGGCACATTGCAATTTTGCAACTCACCAATGGTAACATCAGAAGAACTGTGTGTTTCCAAAAAACTGTTGAGATGATGCCATGTCTTAGGAATCCAATCTATAATTTTGACTAGGTCATTATTACGGATGTTCCTTTCAATTTCTAGCTCTATTAGTTTCCTTCGAAGATATCTGCCTAAGAAGCCTTTCACTGGTTCAGTGTGGTTTGCACATAGTACCCATCTATTAAAAGAAAATAAAAGGACATCAGAAATCTTTACATAATTACATTTTAAATCCATAATAATTCTCTTTCCAATATAGAGTTTCTTTGTCCATTGGTGGCCACACTTTCATTTTAATGATCCAAGGGGCTAAGAGATCTATTAGCATTAGAGCTATTATGTAACTGACTCTTTTTTTTTTTTTTTTTGAGATAAAGAGAAGCTCCTGTGCCTCAGAAGTGAGTGGGAGTATCCACACGGCACACTCTTCTGCGGAGAATCACAAGTCCTAAAATAGGAGCTCTCTTCACATCCCTCACACTCAGGAAAAGTGTGCCGCATTAGCTAGTGACAAAGTGAACGGGAAAAACATTTCTTTTTTTTTAAAGAAACACTTCTGATTACGGGTTGAGGATCCTACAAAGTCTTTTTGAGAAAGAGAGTCATACAAAGTGAGAATTATTTTCACACCACAGGTCACCACAGGCAGGATCTGTCAATGCACAAATGGAAAAACAACCACAAAAACAAAGAGAAAGACAATGAAAAAGCAAAAACCCTCCTAAAACAAAAAAACAAAGCATTCAATTTATCTTTACCTGAAATTGTGATGCAGCTCTAGATTTGGTGATGAAGAAACTCCCTGATTCATTGTTCCGATAATATATGGACTGGGAGGGGGGAAAAAAAAGAGTAGAATATGTAGATATACTGAAGGTAAAATAGATTAATATATTAAATTGTCTTAGAAAACAACTTATATAAATGTGATTATTCCATTTATAATAGGCTTTAAAAGGGTAATTTTGTAATGCTGGGTTGCAAAACGACAAAGATTATTGAACTGGACATTAGGATTTGGAGTTGTAATTTCAGCTCTTGAATTCTGGGCAAATTATTTCCCCTCTGAAACAAGAAATTTGGACTGGAAGTGCAAGGTGTTCCCCTGGGCAGGATGGCTTCCTGAGAGCTCTTGTCTACTGGAGTGAAAGAATGAAACCATGGATGGAGGAAGGTATAGCAAAGGTGGGAATTTATTGAGAAACAAGCAGACTCCCATGTGGAAAGGGGGAAAGGGTCCCACAGAGTCCCTTTTTCCAAGGTTATAAAGGGGTTATAAAGGCTGCAGTTTTTGTGCCTCCATATTCCCTTTGATTTGGTCACTATAGCAACCCCTGAGCTCAGTCCTTTAGGGAAGCACTTGAGGCTACCCACTTCTTCTCCTTTATGGCTCTCCTATTTCCCCTGGGCTTTTCTTCCTCCCTCTTTGAATGAGGGGTTTCCTTTCCTTTAGTCTTTAAATGTGTACCTTTTTCAGCTCCCAACTTTTTTTATTTTTTGGAAATATACCTCCTGCCACTCCAAGATCCCTTGTCTTAGGGAAATGTACCCTTTTGCAGCTTTGTAGCCCTGTGCTTTTTCCATGGATCCCATAATTTTAAAATTTCCAGAAGCTGCTTATTTCACACCTATTTCACTCCTTTCACCTCTCTGAGCCTAATTTTATACACATCTACCAAATAAAAAGATTAGGCAGAAAAACCACACTGGTCTTATCCCACTCTAACATCTTATGATTCTCATGCTTATAATCAAATTCATTTATTTTCCTCTTTTATTGTTTCACATTTATTTTAAAGGTCCTTAATAGCATGAAAGAATTTGTATCTTTGTGTCAGTATTTATTAAGCAAATATTGTGTCTATATTAAAAGATAGTATCTATATTAAACAATTAAAAAAAGCTCTAGCAGAGATTAATTGGAATACTTGTACATTAAAACTAATGCTTATGTTATTGCACTTATATGTTTTTTTTTTAATTTTTAGAGGCCATGTATGAGTCTTAAGTGGGTTTTCAGATTTTTTAGACTCTCTATTTCAACCTTTCCATTCACTTTAATAGTTAAAAATTGTACTTATTGATGGAGAGAGGTATATCTGAATGTATTAAATTTATTTCTATAGAAAGGTTGAATTTAAACTTTGATACAGACTAAGAATGAAAGCAGGGCTCTAAAGACTCATTCTGGTTCTTCATTCTCCTGATTCAAACATTCTGTCATTGACATAGTCTCCCAGACCTCCTGCATATTTGTTGAAGCTAATGTCATTAGGTAAATCATGTTCCTATAAACATGCCTGGGACATAGTTATTGAATGAATAAGTAGATTTTCTAAAAAATACATAGATTTTTTTTTTTTAGAAATGTGTAATATTAATGAAGGCTTCTCAAATTAATGACACCAATTATAGGTCTTAAGAGATATAAAGACACAAGAAAACACATTTGATCACTTTTTTATGTTTCATCATTCAAAACATTTCATAAGCATACCATTTGTTGTATTTGCAGTTGAGAAAACCATTGAAGATATCACTCAAAGAGCCCACATGATGGAGATTATCAAGAATTATTACAACTGGGAGCTCTACACCATTATTGTCAGCACTGCACTGTTCAGCCAGGCTAGCTAGATACTGCTGCAATTCCTTTATAAAAAAAAAAAAAGAAGAAAACCAACATGTCAATGGTATATTTTATACCACTGGCAAGAATTTCATATTTTATGAATAGTAGACTTTGTCTTCATCCCAAATCTTTGATTAACACTCATAGTTTGTTCTATTGATATAAAGCCTTATTCTACAAAGCCAGTATAGAACACCCAAAACAAATATACAACTGTAAACACCAAGGCATATTTCCCAGTTGTCTTCTCTCCTAATGAAAAGCAAAAAGAGAGTTCCTGATATGAGTTCTTAGGATAAACTACAAACATCGAGACTTTATCCCTATTTTTGAAATGTCAATGATAAAAGTAGATTTTAGCAAACTTTATGATTACAAGTATAATTACAAAATGGCACCCTTCAATTTCCACATATACTCTAAATGTTTTAATTCCAATTCATTTAAATGGGGCGCATCTGAAAGTGCTGCTCTGAGATTCAGATAAAAGTGTGGTTAATTATTTACTTATTGCTAATCTGTATGTGGCTGCTATAATTATAAATAAAGACAAAATTTATTATATTTCACCGCGTTGTAGACATTAGCATTTGGCATTTCTTCAGTTTATTGGTTCTTTTACAGGCATTATTTCTTTCTAATGGCTTTTAATCTAAGTAGGATAACCAATTCACTGATTGACTGCTCTCACAGATGGGTAGGCCAGGAACATAATTAGGTTTCTTAGAATTATCCTAATCAGAAAGAGCATTTCCATAATATTTGCATATTTACAATGACATTTTCAATTTGTAAGTCTTGCTCAGGATTAAAAACAATTCCATGATCTCTATTTTTGGCAGCCAGGTAAATATGGGAACCACTCACTCCAGAGGCAACTCTCTCTGTAAGACCACTTTTAAAATTAAATATAGAAAGAGATAAAGGACAATAACCTGGATCTTTGAGACACTTAATAATATATTAAGTTCAAAGATAAAATTTATTAAAGACCTAGTATACTATTTATCTTATATTGAACCAATCACATAGATTATTGCCAAAATCGAGATTGCAATAAAAGATGTTTATACTGGTGAATATTCTGGAGAATTTCATTTGCCTTATTTAACTCAATAATCTAGCTATAGTGAGTCATTCATTTATTTATAAAATATGCATTGTCTACTCCATTTTGAGTTTATTTCTGTGTATGGTGTAAGTTGGTGGTCTAGTTAAATTTAATTTTTTGCATGTACCTGCCCAATTTTCCCAGTACCATTTATTGAAGAAACTGTCTTTACTTCAATGTAAGTTCTTGCCTCCTTTGTCAAATACTAATTAAACATAATGGCTTGGGTTGATTTCTGGATTCTCTGTTCTGTTCTGTCAAACTAGATGCCTGTTCTTGTGCCAGTACTAGGCTGTTTTGATTATAGTTGCTTTGTAGTATAACTTGATATCTGGTTTATGATCCCTCCAACTTTGTTCTTCTTTCTAAAGATTGCTAGGTATTTTTTGTTTTTGTTTTTTTGTTCCAAATACATTTTTAGAGTATTTGTTCTAGATCTATGAAATATACCATTGGTACTTTAATAGGGATTACATTTAAATCTATACACTGCTTTGGGCAGTATGAACATTTTAATGACATTAATTCTTTCAATCCATGAACACAGTATATACTTCCACTTGTTTGTATCTTCTATCTCTTTTTTTTTTTTCAAAGTCCTGTAGTTTTCCCAGTACAGATCTTTTACCTCTTTAGTTAAGTTTATTGCTAGGTATTTAAATTTTTTTGTTACAATGGTAAATGTTTTGTTTGTTTGTTTGTTTTTATTCCTGATAATTCATTATTCAAGTATTTTAAAAACCATTGATTTTTTTAGTATTGATTTTGTATCCTGCTACATTGCCAAATTCATTTATTAAATCTAGTAGTTTTTTTGTTTTTGTTTTGTGTGTGTGTGTGTGTGTGTGTGTGTGTGTGTGTGTGTGTGTAGTCTTTAAGGTTTCCTATGTATAATATCATGTCATCTGCAAATAATGAGAGTTTTACTTCCTCCTTTCCAATTTGGATGCCTTTTATGTTCTCTTCCTGTCTGATCACTATGGCTAGGACTTCCAGTACTATGTTGAATAAGAGTAGTAAAAGCAAATATCCCTGTTTTGCTCTTGTTCTTAGGGGAAATGGATTTAAGCTTTGCCCATTGGCTGTAGGTTTGTTATATAGCCTTTATTATGTTGAGGTATGATCCTTCTATTCCCACTTGGTTGAGAATTTTTATTTGAAATGGATCACTTGTAGCTGCTGGGAAAGACTTTTTGGTGGCAGGATTACTGCTATTAATTACTTATTTGTAATATCGAGTAATATTTTGATGTTTAGAAGAATTTTACAAATAGAAGGAGAAGAACAAAGACAAAAACACAAAAATTATGATACACATGTAGGAAAGAACTAGTTATAAATGTGTTGTATGTAAATAACAGTAAGTAAATTAGAAAGAAGGAAGCACAATCTTGAATGATCAGTAAAGTTACTGGAATCTTCCTATTGGCAATGATAAGACATTTAATATTTTGGAAATTTGAGTAATATGGTCAAAATTATAATTTCAAAATGTATTAAGTATACTGTAAAGGAGAAAAGGAAACCATTCAAAAGAATACTGAATTACTGAATTTGTTGAAACCAAAATATACTATGGGACTCAATATAGATAGAGAAGTGTGGCAAGATTTTTGATCTAGTGCAGAAAATTATGAGAAAAAATTGCAGAATTTTAATGTGGTCAAATTTTAATTATTAAAGATTATTTTTCATGAGGTGAAAGGATAAAGATAGTAAGAGAAAGAAGGGAAAGTAAACTTAAGTTGTGAATAGGGCAGTGAGAAAAAACTAGAATAGTCCAAGTGGTAGTGTTAATTTGGGTGGGAGGGCAGTCGTAGTAGAGATGGATGGAAGAAGATGGATTTATGATATTTTTTTTTCAAAGTTGAGCTGGGCATTTCTAAATGTGTATATTCAGTATGCTAATATTAACGTATTTGTAATCTAATAGAAAGTGTGTGGACATGGTTAAAAATAGAGTCAACACAAGTTGAAACCAATGGAGTCACCCAGATGAGGACAGATGTGAGAAAGAACAGTATATATGGGAATATTTTTACTTACCAGTAGGTGAGGGAAGAGTAGTCAGTGAAAGAGACAAAGAAGGAGCCTTCTAAGTAGGAAGGAAACAAGGAAAAAAGAAAAATCAGAGGAATTTCTAGAAAGGAGAGATGAACTATAGCAATTTGCTATACATAGGGAAAGGAGAAAGGAGAAAGGAGAAAGGAGAGAAAGAGAGAGAGAGAGAGAGAGAGAGAGAGAGAGAGAGAGAGAGAGAGAGAGAGAGAGAGAGAGAGAGAGAGCACAATGGGCATTGTATTTGGTAGTTAAGAAATCACTGGGTTATTTTTGGAAAAATAGGGCCATTAAATTTTATTATGGTTCGCTATCATCTTGAGAAGGGAAATAGATTAGAAGATCCAACTGGGAATCTAAGAAAAAAGGTATGGACCAGTGGCAAGTAAAAATTAGCATACACAAATAATTTCGTCATATAAATTAAGTGTTTTATAGATCTTTTGGAAATCACTTCATGATTCTCACCATAGCTTAACTGGGGGAAAGTCTTAGATTGAGGTACTGATGCATTAACATTAAAGTCTCTTGTCCAAGATCAAATTAGGCAGTATAAAACATTTGTATCTATCAGATGGACATTGAGGATGAGATAAATACCATACTTTGAAAATATACACAGAAAATAGCAGTTATATAAATCTGTTGATCATTGCTTTCTTTGGTTTTGATTCTAGGCACATGACTAGTCAAAAATGAATCTGTCAAGTCCAGTTTTCTGATCTTTCCCATCTACCTCTCCAGGTGGCTTCAGATGACCACATATTTTTTCCTAAATCCATCTCTAGGTTTCTAGGCCCACTATTTCAAATGTCACCAAATATAATTGTTTATATGTATGCTCTCAATCAAAATATTCCAACTGGCAGCATGAAAGAAGGCTTGAAGAGTGAGAAGAGGGTCAGAATGTAAAATACAGATGTAATAAAGCAAAAAAATACATTTTTTTCCTTTTGATGGTTTTTTGTTAGCTATTTTGGAATCAGTAAGTGCTTTTTGGCTTCATCTCTTCAGTACTGTCTACAGTCCAGTATAAAGTACAACCACAATTACAAAGCTCCATTTTTCAGAGAAAGGATTTATTATTTTATGCCTCATTCACACTTCACTTAATAAATCAACACTGTTAGTAGCTATCCCTCATACAACCTCACTTTCTCATTCCTAGTCCTTTATTACTATTCTCATTTACCACTCCTACAAAAACAAAACAGAAAAAAAAAAAACCAAACACACACACACACACACACACACACACAAAACACCAGTGTAGATTCTCTCATAATTTAGCATGAATTGATCAAATTCTCTGGCAACAGTTCTGTATTCAGCATTACTAATAGCTCATTCTCATCTTATAAAAATAAAGAAAAAATAACATTTATTACTTTGTATTTTGTATTTCCTTGGTGCTGACTATCAGATGATTTGCCCATGTTTTTTTTGTTTTGTTTTGTTTTCCCCTCCCCCCCCTCCCCATTTTACTGTTTCTGAGCATCATTAGCTGTATTTGAACACTCTTGGCAATGTTTTATTTTTCTTTATTTTATAATAAAAGTTAAACTGACTTAATAATGGCATAAAATATTTTGTTATGAAATAGTAGAAAATAAGAATGTTGGGAATATTAGATCAAAAGAAATTTAAAGGACACATATAATGTTGATAAGAATAGCTCCAAGCACTAAATTTTTTTTTTAAACTGAGATAAAAAGTACCTATATATAACAGGGGACTTAGGGTTAAGACAAATTTTATCATTAATATTAATTAACCCAAATTATTAGCATAATAAAACTCATCCTCATGAAGCCCAAGTAAACCTGATTTAAAACTTGATTTTAAGTGATACCCAACTTCATCAAAATGCTTTGGATTCCTGTAATAAATATAGTCTGTTTTCTAACCATTTGTTTTCCCTTAAAGAAAGCAAGATTTAAAGAATTTTGTCAACTCCACATTGAGGGGGAAATCACACTGAGGATGACTAAGAAATGCCAGTCCTTTTATCATTTTAACTAAAAAGAAAAAACATTCTGTTAAAAGGCTCTTAAGTACAGATATGAGGAAAACTGACATTCACAGTTGGCATTGAACAATGTTGGATGGAACCAGCAAACACTGTGTTCCTCTTGCTTCTTAGAGAAGAATCCCATATTCTAGTTCCATTCCATTGTCTCTTTAGTTGTAATGAGTATGGGTGATTCAACGACAATCTGAACAGTACTGAGCTCCAAGGATATATTTGGAATACATGCATTATATTAATTTAACTTTATTAGAGCCCATCCTGCTTTATGACATCTTTGTTTTCCTTGAAAAATAAATATAAGACAATTTTGAACAAAGGTTCTTATGTGTGTGTGTGTGTGTGTGTGTGTGTGTGTGTATCTGTAAGGGTCTGCATGTATTTGTTTATAAAAACTGTCATTGGGAGTAAAGGGCTATATCCTATATAATAAAAGCATAATATGCAAATCGACCAAATGGCCAAAAAGCGGAATGGCTGAACAGCATAATGACTATCCAGACGACCATCTGGGGCCATACTATGACACCCACTGGTGCCAGGTTAGCCAAGGCAGGTAAGATGTGATTTGTTGGGAGCCTGGCCATCACCCATGATTGCCCCACAGAGGGCGGCTCAGGCCACTAACCAGCGGGTTGCAGTAGTTAGTGGGGCCTCCCTCTACGAGGGAAACTCAGGTCCCAAGTGCCAGTGGCTGGAGGGAAGCTCGAATGCTAGCGGCCTCGGGAAGGAAGGCCTACTCTTGCATGGATTTTGTGCATTGGGCCTTTAGTGAAATTAATAACAGCAACACTTACACTGCACTTGTTACTTGTACTGTTCTCTCTCTCAGTGTGTGTGTACACACACACACACACACACACACACACACACACACACACAGGCACACACTAGAGGTCTGGTGCACAAAATCTGTGCATGGGAGTATCTATTAGCTTGGCCTGCACCCTCTCCAATCTGGGACCCCTTGGGGGATGTCTGACTGCCACAGGATCGAGCTTAAACTGGCAGTTGGACATCCCTCTTGCAATCTGGGTCTGCTAGCTTCTAACCACTCGCTTGCCTGCCTGCCTGATTTCCCCTAACCATTATGACTGCCTGCCTCATTGCCCCTAACCACTTGCCTGCCTCATCACCCCAACCCCTCACCTGCCAGCCTGATTGTCCCTCACAGATTACCTGCCTGTCTGATCACCCCTAACCAGCTCTGTCTGCCTAATTACCCATAACCACTCTGCTTGCCAGTCTGATCACCTCTAACCACTTGCCTGCCTGCCTGATTGCCCCTAACCCCTTTGCCTGCCTGATCACCCTTAACCACTCTGCCTGTCTGCTTGATTGTCCCTAATCACTCACCTGCCTGCCTCATACCCCTTAACTTGCTCACCTGCCTGCCTGTTCACTCCTATCAGCCTCTGTCTTGGCCCCTCCACAGTGGCTTCATCTGGAATAATGTCTGGAAGGTCGTTCGGCTATCCAGTCTAATTAACATATTATGCTTTTATTATTATAGATGACTATCCAGCTGTTTGAGCACCATTTATGGAAGAGGCTATCTTTAATCTATTGAATATTCTTGGCTCCCTTGTTATATTAGTTGACCGTATATGCTCGGGTCTATATTTAAGGGCTCTCCATTCTTTTCTATTGCTCTATATGTCATTTTTTCTTCTTCTTCTTTTTTTGCCAATACTATAACTTTTGATGACTATCATTATGTGGTATAGCTTGAAATCAGGAAGTATAATAATATTTCCTGTTTTATTATTCGTTTTCAAGATTTCTTTAGCTATTTGAGGTCTTTTGTGGTTCCATATAAATTTTAGGTGTATTACTTTCTACTTCTGTAAAAAATACCTTTGGAATCTTGACAGGGATTGCACCAATGGCTTTTGGTAATATTGATACTTTATTAATATAAAGTCTTCCAATCCATGAACACAGACTATCTTTCCAGTTATTTGTAACTTCTTTGATTTCTTTCATTATTGTGTTATAGTCTTCAGAATAGAAATCTTTCATCTTAATTTAAATTTATTTCTAAGTATTTTATTGTGTGTGTGTGTATGTGTGTGTGTGTATTTATTTATTTATTTATTTATTTATTTATTTATTTATTTATTTTTGCTTAAAATGACAGAAATTTATTGGCTCATAGATCTGGAGGCTAGAAGTCCAAATCAAAGTGTTGGCAGGTCCATGCTCCCTCTGAAACCTGAGAGTCCTCCTTTGTCTCTGTCTAGCTCCTGGGAAAACTTCCTAGAATGTTGACTGGAATCTTTGATATTTCATGGTGTGCATCTGGATAACTCCTGTCTCAGTCTTTGTCTTTACATCGCATTCCCTCTTGGTATCTCTGTGTCTAATGGCTTTCTTCTTTTTTAAAAAATTATCTTTTAACATTTTAAATGTTTAGTTTAAGCATAATTTTACATTGGTTTCAGGTGTATAATATAGAGTATTTTATTGTTTTGATGCTGTTATAAATCAAATTGATATCTATTTCTTTTATTCAGAAAAATTCATTGTTAGTATATAGAAATGCAACATATTTTTTCATGTTAGCTTTGTAGCCTGCAAATTTACTAAATTTATTGACTAGATTTAATAATTTTTCAGCCGAGTCTTTAGGATTCTTTCTCTATAATATCATGTCATCTGCAAATAGAGAAAATTTTTCTTCTTTTCCAATTTTGATAACTCTTATTTCTTTATCTTGCCTAATTGCTCTAGCTATGACTTCCAGTTCTTTGTTGAATAGTAGTGGTGAGAGTGTGCACCCTTGTCTTGTTTTTGATTTTAGGAAAAAACAAAACACAACTCAACCTTTCATTCTAAGTATGATGTTAGCTGTGAACTTGTCATATATGGCCTTTATTTTGTTGAGATATATTTCTTAGATGCCTAATATACTAGTATTGAGTTTTTTACCATGCTGAGTTTTGTCAAATGCTTTTTTTAATATCTTTTAAAATGACCATATGATTCTTTTCTTTCATTTTGTTAATAAGTTGCATCACATGATTTATTTTTATATGCTGAAATATTCTTGGATCCCAGAGATATGCACCACTTGATCATGATGAATGATCCCATTAATGAGCTGCTGAATTAGGTTTAGTGTCCTATTCTGGTTTTGGTATAAGGATAATTAATGTTGAACTCGTAAAAGGGGTTGGGAGTATTCTCTCCTCCTTTTTTTTTTTTTTTTTTTTTTAAAGAGTTTGAGAAAGGTTGTTAATTCATCTTTAAATGTATGGCATAACTAAAGCAAAGCCATTTGGTTCTGGGCTTTTCTTCATTTGAAGATGTTTGATTACTGACCCAATCTTCTTATTAGTAGTTAATCTACTTGGACTTTATAATTCTTCCAATTCATTCTTGGTAAGTTGTATATTTCTAAAACTGTTTCCATTTCTTCCACTTTGTTAGCATGTAGTTGTCCATACCATTAGAAACTTTTTGTTCACTAAGCTGCATGTATGGTTTATTTCAAGAATCCACTGAGTTTTGGATGCTTTGGGAATCATGTTTATTCTTGAAAATGTACAGGCCTGAGGTTTCTGAGAGTTTGGGTCAGTTTATATCATTTAACCAGATTATCTGAAAAATAGCATGGCTCCGTATCATGTGGATTCCCTCAGAGACTGATCATAACATATATAGTTTTCTAAGAGAGCCTTAGGTTGAATTAATTGAAAATGTAATAAATATTATTATAGGCAAAGCGTAGTGTTAAGCATAAACTATTTTCTTTTTAGAATGTCTCATTTTACTCAGAGTACATGAAAGTACTAACTAGGCCTTATAACCTCTTGTACTTATTAAAAGCTGAGAGTGTTCAAGCTGACTATTATGGTACATGAACTTTCAGTTGATGCTAACAGTGAATACTGTTTAATTTCCTAAGTGTTTTAAGCAGAAATCCTATTGAAATATGATGTAAGAAATTGCTGCTCCCAGGATTTCTGCCTGGGATATTCTAATTATACCCAAATCTCCATTACGACTATACTTCAGTTAATTCCTACTTACTTATTAAGACTCAGACTCAAGTATTGACTTTTTATAGAGCTCTGATTCCTTTAGGAATTGTTATTTTTACCCTTTGCATCTATACAACTTTGCATAGATCTCTTTCTACTCATACTTTCTCAGAGAAATCAGATAATAGGGAATCTGTCATTTCTTCTGTATATTCCCAATGTTTGTGATAACTTAATGGTATTGAATAGCAGTTTTGTTCAAAATCATGAAGCAGGGTTTAGTCTACTACTACATACTACTTTTAGTCAAAGAGATGGATACATTTCCATGTACAATATGGAACTTTTATGCAATCTTAATGCTTAATTGCTTAAGACACCTCTGGATAAACAGCAGCAGTTCTCATAGGAAGTTGTGACTTACCTTACTTGACTTGTGGTCCACATTAAAAGTGGCAATTGCATCCTCTGTCTTTTTCCTCCCAGATTTGGTTATTACATATTCAGCAAGTTTGTTTGCTAAATAGGTCTTTCCAGTACCACTAGGTCCTGAGAGTATAATTCTGTGATGCTCCATCAACAAGTTAAAGTACCTTTGGGTAATTGGTTTAGGAATTAGTGTATCAAAAACAAAACTGTCCAAACTGTTTTCTTCTACCCCTGAAGGAAGAAACAAAGGGAACAGCTTGCCTTATTGTCCTTACACAAGCTAGAATTTAAAATATAGTGTCAACTGCCAACAACGCTTTGTTATTCATAGCAAAGCAGTCCTTGCAAAAACACTTTCCTTGATACTTGTATCCCGCAAACATATGGTGCCATTTTAAGACAAAAAACATCAGTAGTCAGGCAGAGTGAACATGCAAAAGAGAGCAAGCCCCTTCCTTTTGTTCAGGCTTCCTTCCACTGTCTACTTCATGCTTCCTGTTCAAGTTTCCAGGAAGAAATGGAAGCATCACTGTAAATTCTACTCTAAAGCCTCCTTCCCTTTGAAGGTGGTAGTTTTGTTAAGAATAGATGTAAAGACTAGAATACAAAATACGTATGTATGTATGTTCTTCCCTTTTACAACCCAGCTGTACAGCCACTTAAGCTTTTGGAAAACACAGATTGTGATATTTAGCAAGGAATTAAGAAGTAGAGAAACAGTATCTCCTTTTTACTTACTCAATTACCTTAATCATAAAATCAAATATTGACACATTCCTATCAATTCATAGTTTATATAGATGCACCCTGAGTTTTTCACATGTATTAAAAAGAAATTATGGAGAAAAGCATAATTTAGATATTCTATTTGCCTATAATTAGTCACATTATCCAAAGCAAAGAAAACAATTTCTCACCCTTGATTATCAACTTCTATTCTCTATCCCCAAAGGGTATTTATTGGGTAAACATATTTTAAAATCAGAAATGTAGTGATGAATACATTACTTTGGAACATACATGTTTTGAATTCTCCCAATGTGAAAGATGGTAATGGAAGAAACCTAGTAACTTTAAATTCCCTAAATCACATTCCTTTTTTTGTAAGTCCTGAAGAATTTTTAAAATCACAGTCCAAGTTTCACATTCTCAAATCCAAAGGATTTCATTTACATGGATTTTAGTATTTTAAGTAGGGTTTCAGTGTTTAAAATGTAAATACAGTTCATTACATACCAAAACTATTAAAGTAGTAACACAGTGTTCAATATGAAAATATGAAGGAAAACTGAAAAAAAAAGTAATGTTGGTAGTAAAAAAAATACAATGTGCTTGTCCTTTCCTTTCGATTTTTACCTTTCAGATTCACAGTGATGATGTTATTATCTCCAACAAGGTATCCACAAGGCAGCAACTCAGGCACTTCTAGGCTATGGGATCTAATTAAATCCCCTATGCAGTAGCTAGCAATGCAGTCAGAGCTCAGACCAAGGCTAGCAGATGTATCAATTCGAAATACATATTCCTAAATGGTACACACAAAAACAGGAAAGTCAAAACTGAGGTTCAGCTCATCTACAAAAACAAACAAACAAACAAACAAACAAAACCTCATGGGAATATGAAACTATCTGTCAAGAATTTTAGAAATGGGTAATATAAAACTAGATTAGATGAAAGTTTTCCTTGGTATTTGAAATGAAGGAGAGTAAAAGCAAATGCGTCTATGCTATTAAAGCTAAGGGACATATCCAAAATGAAGCACATCTGAAAATTAATATCAAGATATCTTGCACAACTTACCTTAAAGAGACGTCTAATTACACCATCTAAGACATCCCATTTGGTTTTTCCACTAACACCAATGGATCCTATTAAATATGCCTGAGACTTCTGGTCCTAAATAAGAACAAAATAAAACAAGATAAAAACCCAACTGTGTGTCTTGTCTTATTACTACATTTCCTACTAAATGTATTGATGTAGGGATGGTTAAGACTAATATATTTATTAAGCCTATGGGTTTTATAGTAACAGATACACACAGAGGATTATGTAAAATAAAATGCCCTCCAACAAACTAAGTAACCAACTAAAGAAAAGAAGAAACATCTATAGCAACAAAAACAAATAAGAGATTAGATGAAATGATATGGTCAAGAAAAATGGATTCATGATCTGTTCAGTAAAAGGTAAAGGGCCAGGAGAGAATAGTCTTCCGTTTTAATTCAGAGGGTGCATTCCTGGAGAGAAGCAGCTTGGTAGGAAGGAAATGGTGATAGAGATGGAATAGAACTATGTCATATGAGTCCTAGAACTTCATCTTACTATTTTTGTGATTTTATCTTTGTTAAGCTTTTTTTTTTAAGTTATTCACTTAGATTATCTTCAAAATGTAATCCAGCTATAAAAATATTTTTTTCCATGTTAATATTGCATTTATATACTTACAAAACAGGTCCCATTTTGAATTTATCAGAATATTCATTATTTTAAAGAACTTGCAGAGGATATATAGGACTCATTTTAGCAAGCAAAGAATCCCTTTACAATATAAACAATGGTCCCAAATTTATCATTTTTGTGGGACGGGATTTCAAGAAATTTCTACATGTATTGGAAAAGTAAGCAATTCAAAGTTCATAGTCTAATTGGATCCTCTTTCATGACAAATGATTACGTGAAATAGTGATCATGACACCAGTAGATAGAATTAAAGAGCATGTAGATTACAATCTTGAGTCTAGTCACCAACTGCATACTCCCTAACAATATGGTCAAATAATAACTGAATGAGGTATTAGAAAACATGGATTATACAACATACAACCTCTACCACATAATTAATAAATATGACCACAGGTGAATCACTTAGTCAGCACAGAGCTCCAATTTCTTCATCAGTAACATTTAACTCTATGAGGGTCAGTGATTATCACCATATTTAGATAAAAGCTGATTAAGAAGCCAATACCTTTAACATAAAAAAATGGAGAAATTCACGGCAAAACCACTGTGATTTTTTTTTTTTACTACTATTATGGATTAACTGTTGGTGTTCTCCACACAGCCCCAAAATTCATGTTAAAGCCATAAACTTCAATGTGATAGTATCTGGAGATGGAAACTTTAGGAGGTAATTAGAGTTAAATTAGGCCATTGAAGTGGGTCTTTCATGATGGAATTAATAGTCTTATAAATAGGAGAAGAGCGATCTCTCTCCTCCAGTACACACACTGAGAAAAGGCCATGTGAGGACACTGGGAGAAGGTAGGGGTGTACAACTTGAGGAGCGAGCCCTCATCAGGAATCAAATCAACTGGCACCTTGATTTTGGACTGCAAAACTGTGAGAAAGTAAATTCTGCTGTTGAAATCACCCAATCTATGGTATTTTGTAACAGCAGTCCAAGAAGACTTAAGACAACTACTTTCAATTTTCAAAGACACTGTCTTTTAGAATTCTTTTGAAAAAGAAAACTTGTTTTCCAGTGTTATTGTAACCCAGTCAAAATGGACACGGATACAATCCTATATAACAGAGAGTAAACATGCTAATTAGACCAGACAGCAGAACGATCTTCCGAAATGATCTGCCTGAACCACCAGTGAGTGGGGTTTTGGGGGGCAAGGCCAGTGAGCCTGCACCACCAGGCGAGCCATGGCAGTCCCGGTGCCCCCACTTCCACAGAGCAGGAGAGGGGGCTCTGTCATCCTGGTCCTTGTGCTGTGCCTTCCTTAGAGGTGGCCACAGGGGAACAGGCCTAAGCAATTGCTGGATATCCTCCGAGGGCTCCTGAGTTGCCAGAGGGATGTCTGACTGCTAGCTATGCCTGATATCCCAGGAAGTGGGCCTAAACTGGCAGATGGACATCCCTGAGGGCTCCTGGGCTGCCAGAGGGCTGTCTGACTGACAGCTTAGGCCCAATCCCCTGGGGAACAGACCTAAGCTGGCAGGAGGACCTCCTCTGAGGGGTCCCGGACTGCGAGAGAGCACAGGCCAAGATGAGGGACCCCCCAAGTGCATAAACTTTCATGCACCAGGCCTCTAGTGCTTTTTAAGCAGCTGCTTTTAACTTAGAGGTAATTTAAAATTCACTCAGATTATGATAGTCTTTCCCTGTAAGACCCACTTCAGGAAATCAGGCCCATATCTGCAGCTATAGCAGAAAGTTTATTCTTGGGATTTTTGATCAGTATAAAAATTCTCACTTTCTTTAAAAATTTAAATAGTTCCATAATTTAAAAATTCTGAAGCAGTTTTTGCTTTACTGTTATTAGATTCTTAAAATTTGTGTTCTTGGCCACTCAAATACATTTTCAGCTTGAAATATTATTTTTAGTTTTAAGAACAAGCTAGAGTCAGAATGACATTGTCCATTTGAAGGCAATATTCAATTCCAGAAAAATTAAAACATTTGCCTTATCAGCTAAGGCCTTGCTTCAAAATGATACATACGAGTAGTATAGAACTTATCATACTGAGTTCAGTAGACTATGTATTTCCAGTGTTTAGGACATTTATATAGATTACTAGAGGCCAGGTGCATGGATTTGTGCACTGGTGGGGTCCCTCAGCCTGGCCTGTGCCTTCTCACCAGCCAGGCATCAGGCCAAAACCAGCAGTCTGACATTCCCCTAGAGAGGGTGTAGTGCATGAGTGGCAAGTGGCTAGGGAGGAGCCTGAGTCCAGGCTGGGCGCTGCAGGGCTCTCACTCATCCTGGCCCCGTTGCTTCTGCTGCCACCACCTTTCGGTAAGCTCCCCAAGAGGCACTCCCACTGTAGGAGCACACTGACCATCAGGGGGCAGCTCCTGCATTAAGTGTCTGCCTCCTCGTGGTCAGTGAGCATAATAGTTACCCATTAAACTGTTGAACAGTCGAATGGTTGACCAGTCACTTAGAGTTTTATATATATAGATAGATAGTCTCTTTGCAGAAAGGCCAAATTGATAGCTGTAGCAACATGTGACTGAACATCATAAATATCACCTGTATTCTACAAGTGAAACCTGATGGATATTTTAGAATATTTCATTTTATATAAATGTTTATAACAAAGAAGGCAACTTTTTTTTTTTAAGTTCTAGAAATGAGGGTCACTGACAATCAGTGAGGATTCAGTGAGCGGACATGGCATACTGAGACACAGGTTTACTTATATGATGGTTTCATTTCTTTCCAGTCCCTAATTTTTCTGCTCCTATAACATATTAAGGTAATGCCAAGACAAACACTGCTAATAATATGTTAATCAGAACCAATATTCAAATACAAAATACAGTTGATGCATGGTCATTCTCAGTCTTCAGAAATAAAGAATTTAAGATTAAAGAAATACCTTTGCATGACCGTAGCCCTTGCTTATGGAGACTATAATTTTCACACTGCGTCCATCTTTATGTCCGCTTGCATCACCGGCATCATCTAGCAAAATATCTACCAAATTAAAAACACACATAAAGTAAAATCACATTAGCTCAATTTGTCTGTTACCATTGTTTTCTCCCTCAGTCAGTTTTATAATTCAATGGGACTAGTTAGCTTTTCTGATTCCCAAATTAGCCTGATTGGCTTAAAAATCTTAGCCCTTAAGAAGCTGAATTACTGTGGTTAGGTTAAAGTTTTCCATCTAAAGTTAAAGTTTCAATCTGACAAAGATATTTCAGTTTCCAAATATCTTCACCCAAGTGCTGGGCCATGGCTTTTAGATGAGGAAATGAGGGTTTTCCTTTTCCATTACACACTGGTCTGAGTACCTGCCTAATATTCAGTTACCATTATAACCGTGACAAACTGAAAAGCAATCTGATTTTTCAATCCAATCTAAAGTATCCAAGCTCAATATCCATACAATTTATGAATGCAAAGATTCAGAGATTGACTGTCAGCTGAAATTATTTTCAAGCATTTGGCACATATCCAGCTATATCACTGCTTACCTTACATCAATAATTATGATACTGTGATTGAATTTCAACTATGGCATTATACTTACTTTCAAAAATATATTAATTATCACTCTCATGTTCTCTTTATGCTTATAGTTTCAAAACCAGAATATTATTTTTAGTAATCAGCTAAGAGTCACAGAAGCATGATAAAATTAGCTAACCTTTAAAGCACCAGTCCTTAAATATGATTAAAGATAATTTTCAAAATATATTATATGAGATTAATGTCCAATTTGGAGAATTATTAAGGAAAACTAGCCCAAATATATGTTTTATTTTACCAATGTTGTTATTATAGAGGCATATTTAATATGAAGATAGTCTTCTGTGGACGAAGAAAACTCAGTTATGTGCTGAAGAGCACATGTGTCTGGTGACAGGAGGATTCAACTGCTCTGACTGCAATTTTATAGAGACAAGGGCTGCCATCGTACCATCATAGAATCAATAATTTAATCAAATAGCTTCTGAAAATGGAATGGTTTCATTATCTCAATAAGGAGGAATATGCAACTTTGCAAAGGAAGGAGAAAAAAAAAATCCCTTAAGACCATAATAAAAATGTAGCATTCAGAATTTGAAGAATATGAAGATTTCTGCTAAATTTTTTTTAATTTTTATGAGAGAGAGAGAGAAAGAGAGAGAGAGAGAGAGAGAGAGAGAGAGAGAGAGAGAGAGAGAAGCAGAGAGATTTGCTGTTCCACTTACTTATGCACTCATTGGTTGATTCTTGTATGTGCCCTGATGGGGGATTGAACTGGAAACTTGGCATTTCGGCAGAATGCTCTAGCCAACTGAGCTACCTAGACAGGGCTGAAAGTCTTTTAATCGTCAAAGACTATCCCCCTTACTGGAATTTAATTATTTTATCAGATTACCATTCTCATAGTCTCTTACTTTTTCACCTATCCCACTAAAAAAAATAAAACTCTTCCTTACGTGTCATCTTAATTCTCTTGCTCCTTTTCTCAGAAGTTTATAGTGGCTCACTAATAGCTGTTCACACATAAATTTCTCCTAATTCATGACCAAATTAACTTTTTAGTACTTTGCTCAATTATTTATAAATGTTGACAAATATGCAAAAATATTGATTACACATAAAATATATCAGAAACTGTGCTGGGGACTGGAAATAAATACCAAGGTGAGAATGTATACTACAAAAGTATGCAAGATAATTTCATAATGAGCTAAGTGCAAGAAATGAAGACATAGGGTAGTGAAATAGAGTAAGTGAAGGGAGCCTTCTCTAGACAGATAGGTAATCTTGGAAGGCTTCCTGGCAGAGGAGGTGTTTAAAACTAAGATCACGAGGCCGAGATGTGCTATGCAAATGAAGACCTAGAAAAAGAGGTCTCGTCAACATAAACAAATTCAAAAGTCTTGATGAATGAGCTAGGTGAGTTCCAGAAATGGATAAATATTTGGGATGGCAGGAATGTAGAGACTAAGGAGAGGGGAATGTATGAAAGGATATAAGGGCCAGCTCATGTATTACCTAATAGTCCATAATAAAGAGTTTTATCTGATTTCTGATCTATTTGTCTGCTGCAATTTGCCTTAGGGGATGTTATTCATTTTATATCATGCTTAGTCTTAAAAAATAGATTTAAATTATAAAATGCCTCAGTAGTAAGGTAAATATTTGTCAGCAAGTAAGTGACTAATTATTCTTGGCTCTCACATATGTGGCTATTTAAAACACAATGGCTAAAATCTCAGGCACTAGATTCATCCAAACTTGGGTTCAAATATTAGTTCTGCCACTTACTAGGTGCGTGATCTTCAACAAATTATTATAGTCACTTTCCTAAGTCTTTATTTCCTTATCTGTTCAATGGGGCTCAATCTCTTTCATAGGGTTACTGAGAGCATAAGAGATAATGCTTTTAAAGCCCTTTATTCTCAGTACTTAATTTTTAAAAAAATGATTTCAGAAAGAGGAAGAGAGAGGAAGAGATAGATAGAAAAAACAATGAGAGGGAATCATTAGTTGACTGCCTCCTATTGGGGATTGAGTCCCAACCCTGGCTTGTGCCCTGACCAGGAATCAAACTGTGACATCCTGATTCATTAGTCAATTCTCAACCACTGAGCCATAGCGACCAGGCATATAAATTTAGCTGTTCTATATTACTTTTCTCCATGTGTTTTTTTCTAACTATTTCTATTGATGCTAAGAGGAGCATATCATGATTCCCATTCCCAGTATATGTTAGGCTGACCACTTAAAGAAAGAACTCAGGAAAAACAAAGCTCATCAAGGTTAAGTGTCCTATATAGTTTATTTTTATGGAAAATTAGTTATGGTCCTATGTAAGCATTTTGAGGGAAGAATAAAAAGATCTGTCATTCTGATTATAATAAAGTGAAATTTTGAAAAAAAAATTAAAGACTTTTGAAACTTCTGTCTTTACTGGATGTATGGAACCTGTGGCTATGTTTCAAGAACTGGGCATTTGTCAATGATCCTCTCTATACCTACTTCAATGATCCTCTCTATACCTACTTCCTTCTTAAAAAAAATAATCATGAACTTTAGAAAGCTTTCTGCTAAAATGTCCCAGCCTAGACACACTTCTGATGTCCAATATTGAACTCACTAAGCAAGAGTGAAGGCAACATCAATGAACACAGAAATTCTAAATTTGATTTCTTTAATTTTATATTTACTCTTTATGAGTTCTAAACATTCCTGGACATGAATATTAGTTTCATTTTCATATGGCTGTTCTTTCTAAATTACCTTTAATACTAATCTTGCCTTCTTCAAACCTGCTCATATTTCCCTAGGAAATAAAACAACAACTATGTAGTAGGTGGTGAACTCCTGCCATTAAGCCACCCTGTAAGGAACAGCCCCTGCCTTTCCTTGGGAGTCCAGCCCTGGACACACACAGGCACAGACCACCATTAGGTGTGGGTCCTGCTTCACTTTCCTGTCAGGTTCATCACCAATAAGCCAACATATAGGATATTTTCAGAGTTCTCTGATTTCATATATTTGAAGTTCTTGTTCTTTCTTTTTAAGCATCTTTCAAAGAGTGTGGATGAACCTTAGAGACAATTCATATGTTCAAGTTATTACCATATTTCTATGGTTTTATTTTACCTGTTAATTTGCCAACTCATTTATTATGACTTCTCTCTGTTTTGTCTGGGCTACTAGGATTTGTTTTACATGATGTTTATTTTCAGAATTGTTTTCCTTTCCCCAGTCCCAACCAAAGGTTATTATAAACATTGTTTTCCTGAATTTCAGGGAGTTCCTACCTGTTTTTTATGAGAAGAAAGCAAATATGCATTGAGACCATTCAGGGCAGATCTACTAGTAGAATTTTTTAAAAAAAAATTCTGGTGTTTTAAAAGGAAGAGATGCAGTTGATTAAAAATATCATCAATATGAGCATGCGGTATCTCTGGTTCTCTTCTTCATCTTTGTCATCATCTTCTATATTTCAGTGTAATTTGGGGCAACTCCTGAAGTCTCTCAGTTCTATAAATCTAGTTACCCAGGAACATGTATATTATTGATTGTCAAGCGTCACCTGGTGGCTGTACTTTGCAATTACCACAGAAACACATGTAAATCTTTCCTGAACTAAACTTCATGTGCATAAAATAATTCAATGCAACAGGAGCAGTTATATTTCATAACTGGCTAGATCATTAGCTATCAAGGCAAAGTTGTGTCACATCATTCTATTTGCAACTGAATGAAACCATACCCTTGTTCCATCATTAGTACATCTGAATACAGTAACAGAACATTTAATAGTGCTGAAGATTAAGTGATGAGCATCACTACGTTCTCTCAGCAATGTCATGCAAAGTCTTCTAGTCAAATGTAGAAACAGGTCCTGAAGCCCTTATAAATGGGCTCAGTACATCCCAAGCACTATAAAATTGCCTGGGGTGATTAGTGTTATATTCATGAGCACTAATGATCATCAAGTTCCTTTATTCTATTACAGAAGAGAAAATGCTTCTCAAAAAAGTGATATATAAACCGTATCTCTAAGTCATTCACTCTTTCCCAGGGAATTTACTTTTAAAACAGTAATGAAGTAGAATAGATTTACAAGAGAAAAAATAGGACTACTGCTGAGAATTAGAGTGTTTACATTTTAAGAGGGTAGGAGTGAGAGTAGTGACGGGTAAGGTTCTCCAAATTCCAGTATCCGCCACCCCCCCCCTTCCCCAACACACACACACACACACACACACACACACACACCGTCACCACCCTGCCTCAGTTGAGTCATAGGAGCACTTTGATTCAGGCAGGTGGGCGCACAGTCACCTGAGGTAACAGACTCCGTGATGTTCAGATTATTTAGAGAAAGTCCCAGCGACTGCCGTGAGGATGAGGAGGACGTGCTACTTGAGGATTCTGAGGAAGGCCGAGCAGGCTTAGCTGTGTTGCCAGTTTCTGCTTTCAGCCGGTCATTTTCAGCCTTCAGAATTTCAATTTCGTTCTTTTGTGAAGATGGGAAACAAGAAAAAAATTCAACAGGTTTGATTGAGAAAATGGTATCATCTGTTTTATCAGAGTTAATTAGATTGTTTACTAAATAAAGCATGCAGTCATATAATGAAAGGCTAATATGCAAATCAATGAAACAGCTGAATGACCGGTTGCTATGACATGCACTGACCACCAGGGGGCAGACACTCAATGCAGCAGCTGCCCCCTGGTGGTCAGTGCGCTCCCACAGGGGGAGCACCGTTCAGCCAGAAGCTGGGCTCAGGGCTGACAAGCACAGCAACAGTGGTGGGAACCTTTCTGGCCTCCCCAGCAGAGCTAAAAACCCCTCAGGGGATGTCCCACTACTGGGAGGGAGCCTAAGCCATCAGTCAGACATCCCCGAGGGCTCCTGGACTGTGAAAGGGTGTGGGATCCCAATGGCATAGATTTCACACATTGGGCCTCTAGTGTTAAATAAACAAATATAAATTATGAAAATAGATTTTCTCCCAAAAAAGGAAAAGTAATATTTTCTTGTCTCTCACATTCATATATTCACAAATCTAGACACACTAAACATTAGAATTTCAATAATTATTTTTTAATTTATCAGATGTTTTCAGGATATGGCCTCATATGAGTTGAGAATACTATAACTGCAGACTTCACAATATTTCCCTTCTTTTATTTTTATCTTTTCTTTTTTATATTTTTCATTTAAAAAGTACTGTTAAAAATCTCATAGCAGATGACGTTTGTAACATTCTGAATTCACAGAGAGTTGAAAATCACAGCAAAATAATGCAAATAAGGTGATTTCAAATTACTTCAGAATCCTAGCTAAGATCTGAAAAAGTTTTTGTTCCTTCAAAATGGGGCATGAGGCTCTCTAAAACAACAAAAGCCTTTTGATGAATATACATAGCGGCAGATGAATCTGCTCAGCAATGAGCTTTTCTCCCTCCGTCATCTGCAGTAGCAAGTGATTACTGGTTCACAATAATAAAATGAAAACTTAGTCTGAGCATAGACTGAATCTGAATTTAGCCCTCAGATGCTTCAAAAAAAAACCAAACAAATACACGCACAGACACACACACACACAAAAAAGCTTTACTTTTACAGATGGCATTCGACATCCCTTTTACTTTCAGATTTAGAAAGCTTGAGTTATATTTCTGTGGTTTTCTCATTACTTTTGTTTTTCAGTAGAAAATAGGTAAAGGTATTTGAAAGTCAGATTTCAAAAAAGCAGGGAAAAATCCAACATAAAGGCAAATCATGGAAAAGTGAAGAAGCAAGGATTATAGCTGTCGCTAAAATCTTAGCTGCCACATGCATCCAATCACCTGAAAGTGTATTGAATGGTCTGTGTGTGCAACTGACCAGTTTGTTTTCCCACTTCCATATCCAAGATTCCTTCATTTGGTATTAAGAAATAAGTTACAAAGATTAAATAAACAGTACATTTCCATGAAAGGGTGTGTGGTGAGATTTGTTTTTGCAAATAACTGAGAGAAGGAAGTAAGCAGTATCACCCATCCCTCCGTGTGTTCCTTGTGTCAGCACTGACCTGCATCCTGTTCATGGCCTCACGAATCTGATCGAGGTGATGAGCAGAGCTGAGGGCCTCCAGCCGAATGTCTGTTAATTTTAATTCCTTTTCTCTGAGCTCACTCTTCAGCTGCAGAATTATCTCTGCCTCAGCCTCAGTGCATTCACAGATGCTGAAAAAGGAAACAAACACAAATTGGTAGTTGGGGGAAGCCAGAGGATTAGGAAAAGCAATGCTTCTCTTGAAGACTGAACTGTAATATTAACCAGCAGGGACAAACATTATTTGCTGCTGGCAAAACCTAGAGAAAAGGAGAAAGAGTTTTACACACAGTAATACAGTCACAGGTTCATAATTGGAAATAGGAACTATCTTTTCTTTTTTTTTTAACCTTCTCTTCCTATTTTCTGAAGTATGAAAACAGTCTATTATTACTGTATATAAAATGACCCTCAAAAGCCTCTTGTTGCTGAAATTTATGGGCTGCAGAGTCCTACTGATATTACATTTCATTCTACCCTTTTCCAAGGGACTGAACTCTCAATTTGCAACATATAAAATATTTTTTTAAAGAGATGTTATGTTGTTAAAATGTTGATTTTTTGTTTTATGAAATTATGCAAAGAATAACCTTATTTGTCATAATACCATCTTCAAGTTACCATGAAAATTCAATATACATATTGTAGGAAATAAATCAGAGAGATTAGTTTTGAACATGGAAATAATGGATGAGTGTTATATAATGCTCCTGCTAGGCTCAGCTGACTCAGGGGATCACAACTAATGAAGCTAAATCATAGATTTCAGTCCATAAAAGCAGGCTAGTTGAGGGCTGCTGAAAGGTCATATACATTACATCCTCATTATTGTTTGTTATTGTTTTGTGAACACCTTTGTAGAAAATATGTCAAAAGAATTTGTTTTTGCAACTGACACCATTGTCATTTAAAATGTGAGAACTAGGTCGCTGATCATAAAACCTTAGTGTGTTCTTTCTTCCTCTGTGAGTTATGAAATTTTTTAGGATGCATAAGTGTCTTACATGGTCCTTAGTGGCTCTGTTCTTTGGGACAATTCCTGGCTAGTCATTGTCATGGGCATACAAGGAAATCTGGTTTAAATGATATATAAAACAAAGAGGCGCATCAGAGCACGTTTCTACAGTCTGCATTCTATCTTGTAAATTCAAGGGGTGGGCTACGATAAAAACACTACGCTGGATTATCTCACACAATTAAAGAAAAACAGATTGCGGTTTGGCTTTAGGAAACAAAATTTTGCTTCAAAACCAGAAAGACAAAGGAGGTTTCGATTGTTGAAACGCATGCAAGTGGTTTTAGAAAAAGCAAAAGCAAACATCCTCTAGGTTAGAACCTGGCTCTTTTCATGCATCACACTCCATTTTACCGGGATCTATGCTTGTAGATGACAGGGCCATTTCGACGTTTCTTTGGTGGCCAGACAAGGGGTGACCTGCATTTAACGCACAGTTAGACAGATCCATGGACAGGTGCGAGAGAAAAGAAGTGAGCATAATAATTTAGGAAAGTGGAGAAACACTCAAATTCTAATAGATGAAAAGATGGAAACAAATGCTGTCTGACATTCCAAGGAAACTCTGAAACAGGGCTGGTAAGGAGATGTAGTAGCAGTAGAACCTGATGACCTTTAGAACACAAGTATGGGCAAGGTCTGAAGTTGTTGGCAAAAAAAGCTCAGAATTCTGCAAAGGGAGTGACTTACGCCGAGGCTGACTGCGAGGGCTTCATGGATGAAGACCCACCATCCCCAGTGTTATGGGGCAGCTTGGGGGATGCCGGAAGAGATGAGTCTGTGAGCTCTTCAATGTCCGAATGTGACGAGGGAGGCTTGGTGGACTTTTTCTTCCCAAAGGCTTGTTTGAATGAGCTTCTCAGCTGAAAAAAGGACAGAAATTACCTTCCTTGTCTCTTTGCACTTGGGGAATTTTGCTTTGGGGCGTTAGTTTGCAGGTGCCATCCTAGCCACTGCCTGGGGTCAGTATGTAAAAGCAGAGTATTAACAGTTGCAGCACAGTATCTCTTAAAAAAAAAAAAAAGATACCGTGTTTTGTGTTTTTGTTCTATTCTTGTATTAATCCAGCTTAGCGCAAACATGGAAGGCTTTTAAATAGTGCAGGGTCAAGGGCATGGCTGTCAGAGCACTCATTTAAAACTAAGTACCTTGAAGGGATTTCATTCCCAATGCTTCTCTCTTCAAGGCAATTTGTTTTAAATGGCCACTTTAGCGCTACAATCAAGTCATGTCCTGCTGACAGTATAAACTTAAAAAGCAAAATTAAATCAAATTCACCTAACACTTCATTAACTGTGGTTTTCTATTCAAATTTTCAATTCCCATACTATTTAAAACCAGAATCAGTATCCCCTACAGCTCTATTCAGAAAATGGTTTTACTTCTTCTTTTTAAAATTTGAGATTAAAGTGAAAAGACACAAAGAAAAGACATACAAGGTAATCTGCTTTTAAAGGGTATAAAAGCCTACTGCCAAAATAAATAGCATTCATGCCAAGGTAGGGTGTTTTATAGAGATGCATGCCAAATTGCCCACAGTTTATATTCACCTCACTTCCTCTAGAGTTCACCTTGCAGAAACATGAAAGAGTGTGTAATTACAAATCAAGGGAATGAAGGCTGATCAGTATTTTAAAATATTACCTGCATAAACATTTTTTAAAACAAAAAAGAGATATTTCTCTCATTATTCATAGAAGGTACTCCAGGAAAATCTTCTGAGAGTTATATATAGATTCCATCAAGAGTTGTACTTATTTAAAATCTGCTTTGTTTCATGGCATTAAGCGAAATCCTTTACTTCATTGTTTTTAAACATTTTTGCAATGATAGCATCTTCCCCTCAGTTATTTTAAGAAATTGCTTAATATTATCATAAATAATGTCTCTTGTAAACTAGTTCTGTTAAAGTGCATTTCCACATTCCCGCTATATTCTCCTGCTAAAAAAAATAAAGCAGACATTAATGTAGTTGATTTCTTACCCAGGGACACTTTACTCAAATGAAAAACCCTACAAATGTGAGGAGTGGGAAGACTTTCATGGTCTCTTCTTTCCCTTTTATCAACTCCATTTATTCTCTTTCTCCATCACCATCATCATCACCGTCACCTTCATATGATCATCATCAATGTCATTACCATCACCATCATCATCACCACCATAATCTTCATCATTGCCATCACTACCACCATCACCATCATCATCATTATCATCACCACTGTAATCATCCTCTTCTTTTCCTTCTCCGTCAATAAATCCCTACAGTAAGTCATCTATTTACAAATGTTATATTTCTTTACAAAGTCAGTATTACTTATCCTATTTTTACAGATGAGAATATTTGGGCCCCACAAAAGGTAAAGTAATCAGCCTGAGATGGAATAAAAAAGTGGCAGAGTAGGAATTCAAACCCAAGTTTAGTCCCAAATCTAAAACATGCTCTTCAGCACCATGCCGCCCTAGCCTTGATGATGAGTGCAGCATTTGAATGAGACTCTTTATAAACTACTGCACATCGCAAAAGCTCAGAAGGATAAAAAGCCTGATTCACTGTGCAACAATGAGCCTCAGAGTTTCTTGAGTGAGAAGAGCTTACCCAGTTTTTCTTTTTCTTTTTCTTGGAGTCAGCATCATTACCACTGCCAATGCTGGAATGACTGGTGGCACTGTTGATACTAGAAACGCTTTCAGAGGAATGCTGTCTTCTGATGCGGAGATCTAGCAACAGATAGAGAGGATCACATTTGCTCTTTTAATAATTACGAACAAATTAGAATTTAGGTTTCCTAAGGGGCATTCTGCTAATAAAAGTCAACATAGCTTTGTAAGATCATTTCAATGCAGTTTGGTTTTATAAGTTTAATAGAGTGCAGCCATACTTGCTTTAATTAACTGGCTTATCTGCATTAAGATTCAATAGGCATCTCATATAAGTCTCCAGCACTGGTGGTTTAATGAGTGCTGAGTTTTGTCCAAAAATGAAATGCTGTGCTAGTGATTCTACTCAATACCTGGATCAAACTGCACTTCCAAAACAATTTATTTCAAATGATTAGTTTCATGGAGTCAGTGGAAACTCATAATAGCATGGGAATTAATTTTGTCTTTTTAGAATAAAGTTACTGAAGTCAAATATATTAACTGTCCATTTCATAGAATCACACCATGTTAGAGCCAGAACAAATCTTGGCAGTCAGCTAAGCACTTCATCTCACGGTGCAGAACTGAAGTGCAAGGAAGTTAAGTGACTGGACAAAGTGGAAGGGACAAGGAGAGGAAGAGCCTTAAGAGAGAGAGAATGTGTAGACTGCATTCGTGAATTACGCAGAAAGCATAGCCCCTGCTGATGACTTGGAACAATAGTAACAGTAAGAATAATAACAGGTAATTATAAAGCCAGCTTTTATTCTGCACTTACTCTGCCCTGGGAACATCTAATTTTAATCTTTACGTAAACCGCTGATTTGAATTGAATCAGTTAATCTAGTTTTCTTAGTCACTCAGCTGAAAACCAGAGAAGCCAACCAGAGACCTGGACTGATTCTAATGTCTGGTGTGCTAACTGCCATGTACTTCTAAAAAGCATGTGGTACTTCTCGAGTTACATATTTTAAGGAGAGCAGCATTTTATATTTATAAAATATAAATATTTAATCTCTTTTTGAAGATATTGACCTACTCCATACAATCAACTTATAAAATTTATTTATAGTTATTAAAATTAAAAATTTATCTGCTTACAGTGACTTGATATTAATTGTTAGTGGAGACATAAAAAATTAAAAACTATTTTTAAGGTCAAATCTGCTTTTAGGCTATTTCTATTTATTTAATTGGCATCAATAAATATTAATCAATTAAAAAATCTCAATGGAACTTTTAAGATATTGCAAATTATTATATGACTTACAAAATTTTTCCATAGAAATAACAGTATAAAATCAAAGCTTTCCAGTTGACTGATTTATCAGTAAAATGATCCATGCCAATGAAACTGTAACTGGTTAATTTAAAAACATATAATAAATAAGTATACATGTGGGTATATATGTAAATGCATTTCCATCTTTACACTTATATACATCTATATCAATAAGCACTATATTTTTTCCATTAATATAATAACATACTGTCAAATTTTATACAGGGAAAAACTCAAGCAACTTTTCAGAATTCTTTGAGTTTGTTCTTTTAATTTCTAAAAATAATGATAACATTTACTGATTTTGCATGCCAAAAATATTATCAAAGCAAAAAGCTAAATCAAGGTATATAGATGCGTGCCATTTTGATTAAAATATAAGAACATGATACCTCTGAACTAATATGAAGGTTAGATGAGTAATCAATAGAAAAATGTGTGTAGGTATTTGTTTGTGTTATAAATTTCTTCTGTAGTTGTCTATAAGCTGTTCTGAACAAGATGTAGTTTTGCCATAATAAATGACTTTCACAAAGAGAGAAGATGTATTAAGCATGAAAATATCCAGAGTTTTTTATTATATCCAGATAATAAATTGTATTTGACTTTTATTAATTCCCAATTTTAAAAAGATAGGTAAATTCTTATAATCATAGGTCAAAAGTAGTCCTCAGAGGTATTAGTTATGTTCAACTGTGGCTGTATTTCCAATAAAGATGAACAAAGTCATACTTTCAATAGTATCACAGAATGAAGGTAATGCATTTTACTTTTCTCTAACAATTCCTTTCCTAGGCTTATAAGTATTTGATTCAGTACATAGAACATCACAGACTAGGTAAAGAATGGTTGACCAAACAAATATAATAATCTGAATGAATGGAGAATCTTACTTTCAAAGTATTTATTTTAGGTAATTCCAGTATTCATTTCCCAGTATTCATTCCAGTATTCATTTTCCACTTTCATTCCAGTATTCATTTTCCACTTTCCACCCTTTGCACCACCACTGTCCCAGTTCAAATCACAGCCATCACTTACCTGCTTGACAGCAAGAATACCTGTCCAACTTATGCACCTACAAGCCATCCTTTTTTTTTTCTTTTTTGATTAAGTTATTACATATGTGCTTTTATCCCCCATTTGTGCCCCCACCCCCCAGCACTCATGCCCTCATACCCCTGGAGTCTGTTTCCATTGGTTAGGCTTATATCCATGCATAGAAGTCCTTTGGTTGATCTCTCCCCCTCACCCCCACCCTCCCCTAATTTCCCTCTGAGGTTTGATGGTCTGATAGATGCTTCTCTGTCTCTCGATCTGTTTTTGTTCATCAGTTTATATTGTTCATTATATTCCACAAATGAGTGAGATCATGTGATATTTATCTTTCTCTGCCTGGCTTATTTAGCTTAGCATAATACTGTCCAGTTCCATCCATGCTGCTGCAAATGGTAAGAATTCCTTCTTTTTTTATTGCAGCGTATCATTCTACAAACAGTAGCTGGGAAATCTTTTTAAAAGAAAAACTTCATCACCACTCCCTCACCTAAGACTTTTCAATAGATTCCCATTTTAATAGCAATAAAAGTAATTTAAATTCCGAAATATGGCCTAAAAGTCTCTCAGTAATCTGGTCAGTACTTATTCTCCAACCTGGTTCTATTTACCTTAAACCTCTGCTCATTACCTTCCTTGTGTTCATTTCATAAAAGCACTAAAATCTACTTTCTGTCTCAAGACCCTTCTTGAATATTCCTCTCTTATTTTAAAATATGTCTTGGTACTTATTCCTTGTTGCTGAGGCCTTTCCTGACTGTGCTGCCTGCAGGAGGTTTCCTGATGCCCTCACCCTCTCTGACACCCATCCTGCTCTATTTTAGAACTTATACTCACTTGGCATGCACATTAGCTACACTAGTGAACTCAACGATTGTTTACTTTCTGCCCTCCTACAGATCAAAAATTGATGGAGACAAAGGCTATGTCTATTGTATTTACTATTTTATATTCAGGGCTTTGTACAGAGTGTATCGCATGTGATAGGCAATCAATAAGTACTCACTGAATAAATTTATTCTTATCAGTCATTCAACACAACTATGTTTGCCTGATATTTAATTATTTACTGTTGACTGCAATTTGATACATGTTTTGTCAAATTGTATTTGGGATATCTTAAGGAAATACTATTCCATGTTTATGCACAGAGGTATTGACTTAAAAAGCAATAATCGCAGGTTTTAAAAATATAAATACAAATTTCCATTACCTTTCAGCCTTATAGCAGTTATTTTTTTATCAAGTCATAATTGTTAAATATAGTATACATAAATTACCTTTTGTTAGAATGGATTGTGAGCCCTTGTGTACACTGGCGCTCTCGCGCTCGCCCTCGCGCTCGCGCTCTCTCTCTCTCTCTCTCTCTCTCTCTCTCTCTCTCTCTCTCTCTCTCTTCTTGCATCTTTCTATTTCAAGATCAAACAGAGTACCTAATACACAGCAGGTGCTCAGATAATGTTTGTGAATAAATAAATTCATTCTATTACAGACTATTATTATTTATCAAGCTTTGTTAATAAATATGAAGCACAAATACAGAGAAAGTATAAGGTTAACATAACTTTATAAATTACTGTGTGATTTTACCATAGTTTGATCTGTCCGTAAAAGTGCTGCCTCACTCCAAATATATAACTTAAGAATACATGTTAAATTTTTTCCTGACATAAAGATTTTAAAGGTATCAAAAACCTTTATTATTTAAGAAGACAGATGTGTAGCCTATATAACCACCTAAATAACCCAAGAAAATATACATAATAAGATCAATTTACTGTGAAGTTTCTCCATATAGTAAGTCACAATTTGTGTTCATTGATTTTAATATTGAATTTTAATATCTTATACGTCTATATTGAACCCTTTATAACTATTTGTTTTTGTCAGCTTTAATTTTTGTCAAATTATTTTTAAATCCTTTTTTGACCAATTTGTACCACTTGTATTTACTTTAGGCACCCTTTCCCCATTTTTGAGCCAAGAAATTTCCATTTTTTAATTCCAGTAGGAACATTAAGCTACCTGTTGCCTAAGATAAAAGGAATCCGCCCAGAAAGTTTTACTTCAGTGACATTATTGCATTGGAGAAAAATTAAGCTTTTTAAAATCCCTTCTGGACCTATTTAGGACACAAAGATTTAGAACATAAGCTGCTTTGTTATAGCTCTAAGATAAGCTTTAAATATGCAGTAATTTTCCATGCAGCATGTAATCAACTCCCCCACATGCAAAGTTGCTAAATTCTTAACAGAAGTAGTCTGTAGAGAACTAGTATGTCTCACTTTACATAACTGTTTTTCTAAAATTTAAATTATGTTTAAAAATTATATTATTTTCTATAAAATTTGAATAAGCACCTTTCATAGGCTAGGCTTCATCACAGCCACTAGGATCAAGAAAACATACCACCCTACCATAGAGCAGAAGAGGCAGCACAGTAAGTAAAGCGAGGCATCAAAGTATAATGCACATTTTGATAGGGGAAGTACAGCTACAACCAGGAACCCATCACAATAGGACCTCATCCAGGTTAAGGGTCAAGGAGGCATATTTAGGCTAATTCTTGTAAGGTCTCAAAAAATTTTATGCTGCACAAACAGAGTAGAAAGTTCCAAGCAGAATAAACAGAATATATAAAGAACTTTTGAAGAATTGGGAGATGTTCAGGCTAGGTGAAATCTGAAATATGCAATATGACAAAAAAGCAGGGTCTTGAACAGTGTCTAACACATGATTGGTAATCAATAAATATTTGTTGACTAAATGAAGCTGAAAAAGAGAGATTGTGTCAAGCTAAGGAGTTTGTATTTCATCCTAAAGGCAATATGAGATGCATGTATGGAGATACATGTTGTTGGACAACTGCTCTAGCTGCAGTGTGAGGAGTGAGGTAAAGTGGTGTAAGATGAAGAGCAGGAAGGCTTTAGGAGTTTCTGGCCATGGTTCAGGGAGGAGATGAGGAATATTGATAGTAGGATCAGAGAAAGGGGAACAGATCCAAGAGATAGTCAAGGGGTGGGATCAATTTGGCAATTTCTTGAGAGAGGAGAGGCAGATTTATATGTGACATACAGATTTCTGACTATAAGAACGGTGCTATTTACTGAGGCAAGGAACACTGACGGCAAGCAGGTGTGAAAGAGAAGATGACAATTTCAAATTTGGAGATGTCGAGTTAAAGCTGACACACAGACATCCAAAGATAACCAAATGGAATTCCCTCTTTGGCAGCTGAATATACAGATCTGTAACTCAAGCAATGAGTCTCGATTGAAGAGATAGATTTGACAGTTGGCAACACATAAATGATGAAGCTAGAGCACTAGATGATTTTGTCTAAAATTTTAGATAGAATGGAGAGAATCATAATGTAAAAAAAATAATAATGAACCGGGTCCTAAGAAATACCAACATTTAACAAATGGATACAAGTGAGTTAACCTACAAAAGAAACTTTAAGAGATATTTCAAAGGAGTAGAAGAAAAAACTAGAAATGTGGATTTCATGAACATTAGAAAAAAAATGAATGTTTCAAGTAGGAAGAAACAGGCATTAATATCAAATGCTATTACCATGTCAAATGCAATAAGAATTTTAAATGTTTTCTTGAATTTAATGTCATATAAGTTATTATTGATTCTGAAGGGAACAATTTTGGTGGAGTGATGAGAAGAGAAGCAACATTCCAGTGGTCTAAGTGTGACTAGCTGCTGAAGACATTGAAAAATTCCATTAAAAAATTCCCAGAGTTAATCTGGAAATGGGAAGAGAGGTGACAGGCATTCGGAATTTAGGTAAAGAGGTGAGCATACTGAATTCTATTGAAAAGAGCTGAAATGTGCATTAGTGGAATTTATGTAAAAAACTAATAAGATATAACATAGAGCATTTTTCTTCAGTATAAGCAATATTTCCATCAGGAGTTCACTAAGGGGTGGTGACAGAGAAAATGATTGCATCATTGGTTAGTATTGTTCACACATAGTAATAATGAAAAACAGACCCACTTTTAGTCATTGTCTTACTGTTTTAAAATTCTCTACAAAAAGTGTACATTTTTACTGTCCTTACCTCTCAGAAGAGTTGCTCCTACTACTTTGTACTTTGATTTTATTGTTTTATATAGATCTAGATTTTCATACTCCTTACTGGGTTTATTTTGCTTGAGGTCAGATATAAATGCATTAACCAATCACACATCCTTACCTTCAACAAATCAAGTAAAGAGAAATGTGTATATAACTATAGAAGGCAATTCATTAAGATCAATTTAAAATTTTTGACAATGAAAGCCACTCTTAAATTTTGAGATTCTGATTACATTAATACTAAATATTCATTACTTAAAAAGTCACTGAGTAAAAGCAGCTTTTATCCAATTAGTAAATAAAACCAAGTATGAATGTACTGTATGCAAAATGGCAATCTTTCTAAATATACCTTTGGGAGGGTGATCTGGACCATTCAGTGCTCCCTGGATGGCAGCCTGGGCAGCAGAATTCTGGGCCTTCAGCATTTCAATGGTTTCTCTTAGTTCTATGAGTTCAGACTCCTGTGAAACAAACAGATTAGAAGCTTTAATCCCTAGAAAGAAAAGTAAACTGTCCCTGTTGTTCAAAATTCACCATCCAATGTGTCTGATTTATGTGGTGCCAATGCCCTGGGAGATATGGATGTTTGCCTCACCTTGTGAGGTTGTATCTGACAACTTATTACTTAGTTAAATGTAAAGGAGATTTTTTTTTTCTTAGTTGAGGCCCAGTGCATGAAATTCGTGCAAGGGAGGGAGGGGGGGTCCCCTCAGCCCAGCCTTCACCCACTCCAATCCGAGACCGCTTGGGGGACATCCCTTTCACAATCCTAGACTACTGGTTCCTAATAGCTCACCTGCCTGCCTGCCTGGTCACCACTAACTGCCCCTCCCCCTCGCTAGCCTAATTGCCCCTCACTGCCTCTGCATGCCAGCCTTATCATCCCTAACTGCCCCCCCCTACTGGCCTAGTCACAATCAACTGCCACCTCCCTGCCAGCCTAGTTGCTACTAACTGCACCCTCCCCCCCCACACCTGGTTACCCCTTACTCAACCCCTGTGGCCTGGTCGCCCCTACTGTCCCCTCTGCCAGCCTGGTCAGCTCTTACTGTTGTGTCCCCACCCCCGTCAGCTGGTCATCCCCAACTGACTTCCCCACTGACTTAGTTGCCCCTCATTGCTCCCACCACCAGCCTAATCACTCCCAACTCCCCCCCGCCCCCTTTGCCGGCCTGGTCTCTACTTTAAAAAAAAAAAAAATATATATATATATATATATATATATATTTTATTGATTTTTACACAGAGAGGAATTGAAAGGGATAGAGAATTAGAAACATCGATGAGAGAGAATCATTGATCAGCTGCCTCTTGCACACCTCCCAATGGGGATGTGCCTGCAACCAAGGTACGTGCCCTTGATCGGAATCAAACCTGGGAATCGAACACTCTACCCACTGAGCCAAACCGGGTTTGTCTGGCCTTGTCTCTTCTTATTGCCCCCTCTGCCAGCCTAGTCACCTCTAACTGCCCCCCCTGCCGTTCTGGTCGTCTCTAACTACATGCCCCTTCACAAGTCTGTTCAAACCTAACTGCACCCCCTGCTGGCCTGGTCGCCTCTTACTACCCCCCCTTTCAGCCTTGTCACACCCAACTGGCCCCCTCTGCCAGCCTGGTTGCCCCCAAGTGTCCACCCCTGCTGATCTGGTCTTCCCCAAATCCCCCCCAACCCCCCCTCCCACCAGCCTGGTCACCCCACTCAGCCTTCTTGTTCAGTCATTTGGTCGTCCCTCACTAACACCCCTGCCAGCCTGGTTGTAGGCAGCCATCTTGCGAGGGTGTACTGGTCAATTTGCATATTACCACTTTATTATATAGTATAAATATGATCTGAATAGTCCTTATTCTTTTCAAAGGGTGGCTCCCAGAGCTGAGTAGTACAACATAAAGCATGATTTCACACTGCTTATTTTATACCAAACTTATTCATGCAATCTGTGGTCAAATTGCAAAGTTAAATATCAGTATGTTCTGGTGACCATATTGCATTTACTGTCAACTGGAAATCCCATGTTTTTGTCAAATAAGTGATTTTAGATTCTTGCCTCCTATATTTAGCACTTGGGGGATGGATTCTTTATATTCAAGTATAATACATGGAACTCATCCATAACTCATTCATATTAAATGCAATCTTATTAAATTCTTCTGGCATACGCAAGGTCATTTTAAATTTTGATACTTTTCATCCCAAAAATTCCTAGTATGGAGGCCAAATTTCACCAAGCCAAAAAAAAAAAACATAGAAAATTTTAAAAAGTGAATAAAATATATGTATTAGTAGTCCTTAAAAACAGTTAAATTTCAAAAATGTTTAAATATCAAAATTTTAGAAAACATCTATGTTTTATTGAACTTAGATAATTTTATGATATGTCTCAAGGAAAATTCCTGGATAAATTTAACCTTTCATATTTGTTTAAGTAAATTTATTTTACCAGATTTGACACACCGTGAGAAAGATAACAAAGAAAAAAGAGTGCTTTTTCAGTATAGACCATATTTCCATCAGGAGCTCAAAACAAGAAGTATCCTTCTTGGTAGTGATGGCAATCCTAAAAATTAGAATTCCTGTCAGCCTTTTAGAGGGAGAATTCCTTGATGATATATTTGTAATTCATCATTTTCTCTAGTATCAGGCTTGGGTTCTTCATTCCAAGGTAAATAGTTTATCTGTACTCAAGTCTTCCCAGAATATACAAAAAAAGATAGAAGGATTATGACAACTGCCTTTGAAGGAAAATGTTACATACATGAGAATGTCCATGATGATTCTAACCTTACACACTTACAAAAAACATAGACAATGCTAATTAAATGAGATCCATATTTGGAATAGATACCTGGTGCCTCCTATATCTATTTTCATTAGATATCTGACATATTCCTAACTGATGACAGATTATTTTAAAGCAACCCTTTAATAGACCTCAAATAGCTTAAAAGTCAAAGAATATCATCATGAAAATTCAATATAACCTCCTGGATTTGTAGAGATCTCTTCAAACACTTGACTATAATTTCATTTTTTGTTTTAAAAAAAGAAAAAGATCATGTTTGTGGAAAATTTCCAATGTCATACACAAAATTCAGATCCAATTTATCATATTTCTCAGTCTTTCCAAGTTCTGCCCAACAAGTAACAGAATGTTTACCAAATTTAATTTACTTTCTATAAAATAAATCTTCCAAGAGATAAAATGTTTACTTAAAATTCATTCTGGATTCACAAAAAGATATATATATGGTGCATATTTAATGAGTCACATAACTCAAGTAGTAATGTTATAACCATGCATTAAATATTAATAGAAATTATATTTCATTCTTGAATTTAGAACCAGTAGTGCCTGTATTGTGAATTAAAAATCTGCTAAAACATTGGTTTTAGGTTTAATAAAAAAAATAGAAATGTGATCTTATGCAAATATCTAAAAGTTTTTGCTTAATTTTATGAGTTAGCTGACTTATTTCAATGTCAGCATTTTGAAAAAATTAGAAGTAGAATGTTCCGGAAATGTTGTTTTTTTAAAAAAAGTTGTATTTAATATGAGATAGAAGAATTGTCAACTTTTTAATATTAAGTATCTTATTTTCTTGATTTTTAACATACATATTAACTAGTGGCCCAGTGCACGAAATTCATGCATAGGGGTGTGTTCTTCAGCCCGGCCTGCACCCTTTCCAATCTGGGACTCCTCAAAGAATGTCTTACTGCCGATTTACAGGGATTGGGCCTACACCAGAAGTCAGACATCCCTCTACTACTGGCTTCAGCCGCTAACATGCCTGCTTGATTGCCCCTAACCATTCTGCCTGCCAGTCTGCTCGCCTTCAACTGCCCTCCCCCTCCCACTGGCCTGCTTGCTCCCAAATGCCCCCACCAGCCTGCTCACCTCCAACTTCCCCCATGACAGCCTGATCACACCCAACTGACACCCCTGCTGGCCTGCTCACCCCTAACTGCCCCCCTGCTGACCTGCTTACTCTAAACTGCTCCCCCACTGTCCTGATCACCTCCAACTGACCCCCACTGACAGCCTACTTACCCCCAACTGGCCCTCCTGTTGGTCTGCTTACTCCTAATGACCCTTGCCAGCCCTCCTGGGCTGATTACCCCCCAGCAAGCCAAGGTCCCAGCCTCTTCTTCCTTCCTTCCTTCTTTCCTTCTTTCCTTCCTTCCTTCCTTCCTTCCTTCCTTCCTTCCTTCCTTCCTTCCTTCCTTCCTTCCTTCCTTTTTTTCTTCCTTTCTTCCTTTCTTCCTTTCTTTCTTTCTACCTTTCTTTCTTCCTCCCTTCCTTCCTTCCTTCCTTCCTTCCTTCCTTCCTTCCTTCCTTCCTTCCTTCCTTCCTTTCTTTCTTTCTTTCTTTCTTTCTTTTCTTTCTTTCTTTCTTTCTTTCTTTCTTTCTTTCTTTCTTTCTTTCTTTCTTTCTTTCTTTCTTTCCACCTCCCTGAGCAGAGGCCAGGGCCAGCTGGAAGCAAATACCTAGGATTTATTTACCTTCTATTATTGAAACTGTGTAGCCTTAAGCAGAGGCCAGGGGTGGTCAGGGCAGGCAGGAAGCTTGGCTTCCTCCATTGTCAGGGAAACCCAAGCCTCCTGCTGGCTCCAGCTCCATGGCCGGATGCCAACTTGGTTGGGTTAATTTGCATACTCACTCCTGATTGGCTGGTGGGTTTGGCTTGTGGGTGTACAAGAGTGATGGTTAATTTGCATGTTTCTCTTTTATTAGTGTAGATGTTGAGAGTATTGCAGGTGTCCACCCTTTCCTCTATTTCCCTCCTCCACCCCATCCCACCCTGCCCGAGGCCTTCACCACCCTATTGTCTGTGTGCATGGGTAATATATATATATACACACACACACACACACACACACACACACACACACACAAAGTTTTTGGTTAATCTCTTTTTGTACTCTTCTTCCCTTCCTTCTGAGTTTTGACAGTCTGTTCCATGCTTCCATGCCTCTGCTTCTATATTACTCATCAGTTTATTTTGTTCATTAGGTTCCTTGTTTATTTTTAGATTCAATTGTTGATAGATATGTGTTTCTTGCCATTTTATTGTTCATATTTTCTTACTTTTCCTCCCTTCTTCTTCTTCTTAAAGAACACCCTTTAACATTTCATGAATTGCTGGTTTGGTGGTGATGAACACCATTAGCTTTTTCTTGTCTTGAAGCTCTTTATCCGACCTATTCTAAATGACAGCTTTGCTGAATAGAGTATTAAAAAAAAATAATAATAACACATATTAGTAGACTAGATGTTATGTAGTGTGACACAATAAACCAAAAGGAAGAATAACTTAGTAAGTAATGTTTTTTATATAAATTGGAAAAATCACATCTATGAAAATGTTAGTTTACCAAATTCATATTAGTACATTTTTAGGATAGCTTTATAAGTATAAACACGGACCTATTTCATCCTCTCTAATTAAAAACATAATGAAG